GACTCCGGCACGTAGGACACCGAGGAGTCCTTGCCACCGAAGTCCACCGACTTCATGCGGTCGCTGCGCGCGCTCCTGCGCGCGAGCGGGGGAGGAAAAAAACGCCTTTTTCGTTGAGCGCGAAATATAGGTCCACCTGGGTTTGAAGGAAAACGAAAAAAAAAAAAAAAAAAGGAAACCCTAAAATATTTGCGGGTTGCCTCTAAGTTGATGGAATTGCCAACATATCTCCGACTGGTGTCTGGAACGAAACCAAAAGGAAACCTCAAGGATTTGCGTGGTGCCCCAAGATTGGTTTTTGAACCCACGGCCCATAGCTCTTGCTGGTACAGTTTGGAACTGGCCACAAAGTTTACTGGGGAATGGGCAAAGCACGTGGAGCATCACTAAAATATTGGAACCCGCAAAAGGGGCTGGGCTGCTCGCCGTTTCGAGAATGAGACTATGTCAGAGACGTCAAATTTAGCTACTCTTAAACTCTGAAACTAGACAAGCGATTAGTGTGGTTGGGAACCGCGTCAAGGTGTCAAGTCCGCCACCTGCCTTCCCTAGTCCTGAGAGATTGTGGCCCTGAGGCCCAACAACCCGCCTGCTCTCTTGCCAAAGGACCTGCAAAAAGGTCCACCTTTCGTTCAATTTGACAAGGAACATATCAACAGGTTGATGTTGACCCCATATTAATCAACCCCACTTCATTTATAGGGGCTGCTTCCCCATGGGTTTGGTGTGGAATCATCACTGTGGCGGGGACCACCCCTCTATTAATAAACTGGGGGTGATTCATACCGTGGATGGACGAAATCCTGCACCACGTAGAAACCATGATAAATCCTTGTTGGTTGGTATTTACAGGGGAATCATCATTCAAGGGTTTCTTAGGTGGTGCAGGATTTTGTCCATCCACAGTATGGGGTCAACATTCACAGCTCGGCTTTGGACTGAGCCCACTCACACCTCTCCTCACCCGCCCTGTCGGCTTCTCGTCGTCGTCCACTCCACCGGGCAAAGGCTGCCTGGATCCGGGCGTTGAACACGAAAACGGGAGGCCTCCGAATCCCAAATTCGCCGGGCAAAACGCGCCGACTCTGTTTCGGAAAGGGCAAGGCTGGGCGATTTTCCCCGGAGCTTCTGTCGCCAGGTCTTCCGGGTGCATGTCAAGAATGGCCTTTACAAAGGATGCCCTTCTAGGTCCTCCAGTAGAGAGGTTCGATTAAGGGTACCAATTGTTGTCTGTAGTCTATTTTAGTGGGGGAACCCTCCCCCAAAAAAGGGTAGAAGGGCACTATTGGGGGAGCTAGCCTTCTTGACTGGCGCCCTCTGCCCCAAAGCTTTGGCTAAATGGCTTAGTTGCACCTTTCCCACCAACCCACATGAAAACCCAGCTCGGAAAACAAACCGCTCGATACCTGTTTGCGCCTTCTGATTTGCCGCCCTTGGGCTGGTTTTAAAGGAAACCCAACGAACAGTCCAACAAGTTGGACATGCAGCAGCCTACCTCGGCTTTCGCCAGCCAAACATGGCATGCCTACGTAGGTCCTAGCCTATGAGTCATTTCGTCAAGAGGTGGGCAAGCGAACGACGTCAAACTCGTGAGTCCCTTGTCTTTGCAAGTGTGAGAGAGCCCCCATGTCCCACTCAATGGATCATGGACTAGCCTAGGTCCTCCAGTAGAGAGGTCAGAATAAGGGTACCAACTTTTGTCTGTAGTCTATTTTAGTAGGGAAACCCTCCCAACCAAAAAAGTTGGTCAAAGAAAGGGCACCTAGCTGGGGGGACCTAGTAGCAGTGGACTAGTTGTGGCCAAGGGGCTTGCCCTCGGTGTTGAAGAACACGCTCTTCCGCGTCTTCCGCTTCTCAAAGGTGACGTGGTGGGATTCGGTGTCCGTCTGGACGCCCACGTGCCCCACCTCCTAGCTGCGGGAGAAAAAGCAATCGGATGGCAGGTGTCCACTCTCTCACTCACTCACGTTCGCACGGGGCCTCTGTGGGCCCAGCTGTTTTCTGGGGGGGGATGGATCAGGCCCAAAAACGGCAACAGCAAGTGCACGTGCCTGCAGGTGTGTGTCAAATCAGGGCTAACGAGCGTTCCAACCCCCAGATTGCGGGCAAAAGAATATCTAGGCTACTCATTCTGAACTCTGGGCTCAGAATCTTTGCAGTCCAGAAAACACCAAAGGGGAAAGAGCAGGCTTTTGACAAAGAAGATGATTGAACAGAATGAGTTCTCCCCCTACAGCACCAAACAAGTGGAGCCGGATCGTACATCTGCAACTTGAGCTTTTATCATGCGGCCACCCCCTTTTGGCAACAATCCAGGCCAATAACGGCAAGCTGAACGTCAGGCCCCGGGAGTTTCTGCCAGAGGGATGCTACAAATCAAAGGGCAACCAAAGCGATGCTTCCCAAAGCCATTTCAAGACGAACCTTGGGAAGCACCGGTCCATTTAACTGCCCATTTCAGCAGTGCTCTAAGCTTACCCCTGAAAAAAGTCCAAGCCCTGGGGAAGTTCTCATCTTTTACAGACATATAGCCCATGTTACCCCCAAAAAGTTGAAAAGTGGTGTTTTTTAAGAGGTAAGTAAGACCACCGAAGAGAAGAATCACATTTCATGAAGGCGTTTGCGGAGTCGCTGAATAAGGATTTCCTTTCACGAGAGGTTTCGATGCAGTCGCTTTCATGCATTTGGCGGATTGAGAAATGGGTGTGAAGCTTGTTTTCGCTTCCGCGGATACAGGAAATTTGCAATTTCTCAGGCGAACAGGCCTTTCCGCATTCCTTTTGCGAGCACGTAAATGATAACCCGCTTTCGCGAACCCTTTCGCGGCCTGGGAAAAAAAACACACACATTTTGAAAAACTATTTCTGCACGAATACTACTTTCAAATGCAGGGGTTTTAGAACATCGCTCATTTGGACAGGGGTCCTTCAGTTTCCCTTGTTGGGTGATTTACACAGTTTTGTGGTTGACGATCGTTATCGAGTTCCTCTTTGGTGGGTTGATGTTTGAATGGGACACATAAGGAGCCCTGTTAAATGACAGTCACAGCCTCCTGGGACGCTGATCTGTTGGCCTCCACCTAGGTGTCGGACCCTTGAACCCTGATTTCTGGATTGGTGGGGGGTATCTTCAATACAAGGTTCAAATCCCAAATCCATTGAGAGCGACCAGATAGATGGCCACGCTTCCCTTCACAAGAAACGACATGAATTTAGGCAGAATGTAACGTCAATAAATGAAATGGACTTCCTCTGATCCCCCCCCAGCGGGCCCCATCACTGAACCCACGGCTCGACCGTTCGACGAGTCTCCTGCGCAGATGCCTTCCTTGCCCGGAGGATTTCGGAAAAGACTTGCCCTTTGTTCTTGGGTGGTGTAATTCGGACAAAACAAAACAGCCGTGCCAAACTTGCACACCGCGCCACAAACTGAAACCCTGAGCTTGCGAGAACCGCGCGCCAACAAAAGTCCACAATTTGTGAAGCGCCGCTAAAACCGCTGGCACGTACAAGCTCGAAAAAGAGCTTCTTTATTCATCAGCCAGCAAAGGGCTGTAGATGGTGGTTCAATATGTGGGGCTTCGCAAAGAAACCACACCTAGGTCCTCCAGTAGAGAGGTTAGAATAAGGGTACCCTGTTGTCTGTAGTCTATTTTAGTAGGGGAACCCTCCACCAAAAAAGGGTAAAAGGGCACTACTGGGGGACCTAGACACAAACAACCTGGGCAAGACACAGAAACCTCCAACCATCTGGGAAGCCTGGACTCACATGAAAAAATTAAACAGCTTGACAAGGTGAAGGATTGGGGTGGGTTCTGGGATATGGCTCACAAGTTGAAACCAAAACCATCCGTCGAAATACAATGCAATGCAGTATCAGGAAACAAATCATGCGTTCAAGCGGGGGAAGAAACAGCCAACATAATGTAGACCAACCAAAGTTCACCAAATAAATGAGACACAACAACACACACCACTAAGCTCAAACAAAAAACGAAACGAAACGAAACGAAACCAAACGAACAAACAAACAAACAAACAACAAAACAGATCGAGCAGTCAATCAATCAATCAATCAATCAATCAATCAATCACTCACTCAATCAATCAAGCAAGCAAGCAATCAATCAATCAAATCGAATCAATCAAATCAATCAATCAAATCAATCAAACAAATCAATCAATAAAATCAATCAATCAATAAATAAATCAATCAAATCAATCAAATCAATCAACCAACCAACCAACCAACCAATCAATCAATCAAATCAAATCAATCAATCACACATACAAACAAACAAACAAACAAACAAACAAACAAACAAACAAGCAAAGAAAGAAAGAAAGAAAGAAAGAAAGAAATAAATAAAGAAAGAAACAAACAAACAAACAAACAAACAAAACAAACACACACCCCTCCCAAGACAAATAAGAAGAATAACAAACACAAGAACAAAATAACAAAACACACACACGCACAGAACAACACAACAAAACAAGAGCAACACAACAAAACAGAACAATGCCAAAACAACTGGACCACCTGGCCAAGTTTCTTGAGGCGGCTCCGCAGGTCTTCCACCTCCAGCACCAGCTGCGTCTCCGCCTTCTCCCGGTGCCGCAGCCGTGCCTCTCGTGGCCCCCGGGAAAAAAAAGCGCGGCCCGGATATTTGGGTTTGGCTCAAATAGATGCACCAAAATGAGACTAAAACCGCGCAACCCTGGCTCTTGAATTTCGGCCTTGATATTTGGGTTTGATAAAGCTGGGTTTGATACACCCGGGCTTAAACTGGGTTCAACATGGAGGAATTCATAAAAATGAATTTGTTTTATACATGGTGTTTCAAACTGGCCCTGATATTTGGGTGTGTCTTTTTTTGAGGGGACCCCTGTAAGCCTTTTGTGATGGTTTCGTATTTTTGGGGGTTCCCCTAAAAAACACACACACCCTTTTGATTTTCGGATTGCTTCAATATGTAATACATGCTCCAAACTGGGTCCAAAACGGAGGGTTTGATAAAACTGGAATTGCTTTTTTATACATTGTTTGATATTTGGGTGTGTCTTTCTCGGGTGTGTCTTTCTTTGCGGGTACCCCTTTAAGCCTTTTGTGATGGCTTCACTTTTTTTGGGGGGATCCCCTAAAAACACACACACCCTTTTGATTTTCGGATTGCTTCAAGGTAATACATGCTCAAACTGGGTTCAAAATGGAGGGCTTGATAAAGCTGGGTTTGATACACCCGGGCTTAAACTGGGTTCAACATGGAGGAATTCATAAAAATGAATTTGTTTTTATACATGGTGTTTCAAACTGGCCCTGATATTTGGGTGTGTCTTTTTTTGAGGGGACCCCTGTAAGCCTTTTGTGATGGTTTCGAATTTTTTGGGGGTTCCCCTAAAAAAACACACACACAGCCTTTTGATTTTCGGATTGCTTCAATATGTAATACCTGCTCCAAACTGGGTTCAAAACGGAGGGTTTGATAAAACTGGAATTGCTTTTTACATTGTGTTTTCAACTGCCCTTGATATTTGGGTGTGTCTTTCCTGGGTGTGTCTTTCTTGGGTGTGTCTTTAAGCCTTTTGTGATTGCTTCACAATTTTCTGGGGGTTCCCCTAAAAACAAAGACACCCTTTTGATTTGCGGATTGCTTCAGGGTAATACATGCTCAAACTGGGTTCAAAATGGAGGTTTGATAAAACTGGATTTGCTTTTATACATGGTGTTCCAAACTGGCGTTGATATTTGGGTGTCTCTTTTTTCGAGGGGACCCCTGCAAGCCTTTTGTGATTGTTTCGCATTTTTTGGGGGGGTTCCCCTGAAAAAACACATACCCTTTCATTTTCGGATTGCTTCAAGGTATTTCATGCTCAAACTGGTTTCAAAATGTAGGGTTTGATACAACTTGGTTTTACCATGGTGCTTCAAATGAGTCGGGTTCGACGCATGCTTCGTCCAGGACTAATAATACACATAGCCACATAGCCATACAAGAAAGTAGGGCAACCAGTTCCCTTTGGCCAAGTGGCTTCGATTCCGCGGATTCGCTTCGATCCAGTTGGCCCAGTCATAGGGTTTCAACTGTGATAGCAACGCGGGCTAGCCTGTGAGTACTTGATCACGTTCAAGGGGATTTCGTTGGTATCATGGACAGTGGCACTAAAACCACTGTGAAAACTTTGTCCGTCCACATGATGGTCCCCCAACCAAAAGAAGAATAATAATAATTATATATTAAAAAAAAACATAACAATCTAGGTCCTCCAGTAGAGAAACTAAAATAAGGGTACCAACTTTTCTCTGTAGTCTATTTTAGCAGGGAACCCTCCCAACCAAAACAGTTGGTAAACGAGTACTACTGGGGGGGCCTAGAACAAGCTCCAGAAAGAGCTGGGATCATTCAGGGGCCTAACCTGGATCTACCGTTGCGTTCCGCTGAAACTGCCTTGTTTGGCAGTCCAACAAGAAAAACATGGCGGCCCCTGTATCAAATGGTTAAAATCAGCCCTGCTTGGGGTAAGGGGGTGGTAAAGTCCTTTCTGGTGTGGTTTAAACTGGGTCCTTGAAAGTGATATCAACTTGAGGGCTTCTCGATAGTTGACCACTGAAAGAATAAATGTGTGAATGTCATGTAAACAAAACAAAACCTTAGGGCCAGCACCCCCCACAACTGCCTTTTTCCCATGTCCAAACTGCCAATTGCTGTCCAAAAGCAGTGGTTGGGGGGGTTGCCCGCGCCTGAAGCCCTTGGCATTCCTGCTCAGACTCTTCGACGCTCCTGGCGCGTCTTTCAAAAACATGGATGTCTCGCATTGTCTTCAGGATTTGGACCCCCCAAAATTGGTGGTTTTCCGTTTTTCGTCCTTTAAAGACACAAAAGCGGGCACTCTCTTCATGTTCAAGCTGCTTTGGGTTGAATTCTTTAAGGGCCTCTTGTCAGGGCCTATGGTGGCGAAACAATCAAGGCCAAAGGGGGATTGGGGGAGCCAAGTTTGGGGAGTCGTATAATGAGTTTCACGCAGTCCACTCAAATGAACAGAACTTAGACTGCATTACCACCATAACTATTAGTCTGCCTGGCTACAAGAGTTGGAAGGGTTGTTGTCTAGGAGGGTACTGGGGTTTGCTAACCAGTTAGAGGGAGCAAGGATCTTTCATGAGGCCCAAGCTCGTTTGGCCCAGAGCTCGACAAGAAGAACGCGACCTGGGTCCAGGCTGGAACTAGTTGCAGCCCCATGAATCAACGCGCATCAAAATGGACACGAAAAGGGGAAGCGTCCTTTGATGATGTTAACTTCGGGTCAAAGCGAGGACCCTACACATCAGAGGAAATCGCTTAAACAAAGTCATGTTCTCACCTCGACTACCACGGTCCTCCGGAGTAGAAAGTCCCAAGTCGCATTGTGACTCAGATGCCCAATGGTCATGGGCAAAAAGGGCACCCTTTTGTTGTTGGTTGAGTTTAAAAGGGGAAACCTTACCCCCAAAAAGGGGAAACCTTACCCCCAAAAAGGGGAAAACGGGCACCACTGGGCAACAGAGGTGAGCTCTGTTGGAACCCCCTCCAAGCAACCCGGCGCTCCTTTCCGCCTTCCTCAGCCGCCTCTGCGCCTCTTCCTCATCGGGCCCGGTTTTGGCCCCTGCCTCCATCTTACGCAGTTGTGCGCGCAGGTCTTGGCACTCCTGCTGAGACTCTTCGGCGCTCCTGCGAATTCCCAAGGCGAAATACGGGATGACCACCAGGCAGCAGCTTCTGAATGTGACTGTGGGTCAAAACCCTGTACCCCTGGTGAACATCAAAGGTGGCAAATGGATTTTCATCCACCCCGAAATGGGATCGCCATAGGATATGCCTCATCGTCATGTGTTCCTAGGGAAGCGACTGCCTCATGTTCAGGCTGATCTGGCTGCTTTGCCTTCAGTTTCATAAGGGGGTTACTCTTGCCATATAGAAGAACACCACCTGTTGGTCCAGGTTGGGACCAGTTGCAGACCCCTTGGAAAGTCAAAGGGCGGCTCAAAACGGGACATGACGAGGACGCACCATCTCACAAGATTCACTTCGGATGAATTGGAAGACTCTACTCGGTTGCTTTCTGCTCCTCTGCTAAAAGTTTAACTTTTAGTGGTTTAATTGGGAAAACCCATTAGTTGGCAAAAAGTCAAAGTCCTAACATCCAAGCAAAATGCACCAAAGTCTACTAATCAAAAGAATCCTCTACAGTAGACTGACCATGGACAACCCGATACGAGGAACCACCCCTGACTCTGACCCACCCCTGACTCTTGCAGTCCTCCGCATAAAAAACTTAACTGGAACTTGTGAGGTCTGTGGACCCCACACACACAAGCACCAGCAAAACAAAAAACACAGAAACATGTAGAGGAACGCCCCAACTCCAAACCCTCCCCTTCGCTCCTTTCCACCGTCCTCAGCCTTAGCGCCTCTTCCTCCGCAGCCTCGCCAGCTTTAGCGCCCGCCTCCATCTTACGCAGTTGTGCGCGCAGGTCTTGGCACTCCTGCTGAGACTCTTCGGCGCTCCTGCGAATTCCCAAGGCGAAAGACGGGATGACCACCAGGCTCAAAGATGCTTGAGCATATTCCTGGCAGAACGAATGCTATGTATTTTCAGGAATCTTTGTTTTGGTTGGTGCAAGCTTTGGGTTGAAAGCGTATGTTTGAGCATGGATGTTTTCGACCAGCAACAGGACCGAGAAACAACACCTATCACCCCTGGGTTTAACACAAAATTCCAACAATTGGAAACAATAGCAAAAGTAGAGCACTGCTTTGCAAGGGTTTAAATTAAACCCGCCTTGTAAGATCTGTTGGACCAGCTCCAATTAGCCACCAGCAAAACAATAGCTTGATAGACTGGTGAACGAAAGCCAGCCAGCCCAAAACTGACATGTACCCCAGACTTGGACCGGGTCCAGATCGCCGCAAACATGTGGACGAGAGTCTGGGAATGTGCTGGCAGTGTGGGGCGGCGAGGAATCGAACTCTTCACCAACGGGTTGGGGAGGATGAAAAAGAGCGAATGCGGAAGCCGGCCGGGCCCAAAATGCAAAAGCCAGGATATGCTTGCATTTGCGAAAAACAAAAAGGAAAGCCCTAACCCTAAAGCAACTCCCAACCCGCTCGGCACTCCTTTCCACCGTCCTCAGCCTTAGCGCCTCTTCCTCCGCAGCCTCGCCAGCTTTTGCGCCCGCCTCCATCTTACGCAGTTGTGCGCGCAGGTCTTGGCACTCCTGCTGAGACTCTTCGGCGCTCCTGCGAATTCCCAAGGCGAAAGGCGGGATGACCAGGTTCAAAGACGTTTGAATATATTATTGAAGAGATTGATGCTTCAGGCAGCTTTGTTTTCAACTCTTAACTCTTCAAGGGTTTGAAGGGTTGTTTTCTGTGTGGGGTGACGGGGGATTTCTCCCAACCCGCCTGGTGAGGTCTCTTGGACCCTCTCCCAACAGCCACCAGCAAAACAAAGCTACTTGAGAGACGGGTGAACGACAGCAACAACATGCACCCCAAATATGGACCAGGTCCCAATAAAGCCCAACAACAACATGTTCGTGAGGGGGTCGGGGGGGGGGGCATAGCAAAGAAACGATGTGCGGAACCCAGCCGAATCAATAACCTGAAGCCGGCGCAGCCACTCAACACTCAACATGCTAAAGCAAGGATATGCTAGCCTTCGTGACAAACAAAATCTGAAGGAAAGCTCCAATAAAGAAACTCTCAGCCCGCTCGGCGCTCCTTTCCACCGTCCTCAGTCTTAGCGCCTCTTCCTCCGCAGCCTCGCCAGCTTTAGCGCCAGCCTCCATCGCACGCAGTTGCGCACGGAGGTCTTCGCACTCCTGCTGAGACTCTTCGGCGCTCCTGCGAATTCCCAAGGCGAAAGGCGGGATGATCAGGTTCAAAGACGCTTGAGTACATTATTGAAGAGATTGATGCTTCAGGCAGCTTTGCTTTCAACTCTTAACTCTTCAAGGGTTGGAAGAGTTGCTTTCTGGGTGGGATAACACTGGGAGAACGGGGGATTTCTCCCAACCCGCCTGGTGAGGTGTGTTGGACCCTTCTCAAAAGGCCACAAAACAACAACTTGGGAGGCGGGTGAGTGAAAGCTGTCCAGCCCAACAACGACATGTGCGACATTGTGCGACCCAGTGGTTGCCGAAATGTTGAGAACAGCAACCTTAAGTGAACAAACCAAAAAACATCAAGACCTGAACTTGGGCAAGGAGCCAATCAACAATATCCCCTAATTAGCCGCAAACATGTGGACGATAGTATAGGAATGCGCTGGCGGAGTGGGGCGTGGAGGAACCGGCCCCTTCGCCAAAAGCGGGCGGCGGGGCCAGGGGGGGCCGCGCCCGTAGCAAACAAAAAATGCGAATCCGAATCAGCAACCCCAAACCCCCCTTCCCCCCACGCCCGGGCTCCTTTCCACCGTCCTCAGCCTTAGCGCCTCTTCCTCCGCAGCCTCGCCAGCTTTAGCGCCAGCCTCCATCGCACGCAGTTGCGCACGGAGGTCTTCGCACTCCTGCTGAGACTCTTCGGCGCTCCTGCGAATTCCCAATGGCGAAAGGCGGGATGACCAAGTTCAAAGACGCGTGAGTGCATTATTGGAGAGATTGATGCTTTTGTCTTCAGGCAGCTTTGGTTTTAACTCCTTAAGGGTTTAAAGGGTGTGATATGGGATATTGGGGTTTGCCAACCATTTACACTTAGTTAACAAAGCCAGGGGCCTTTGTCATGGGGCTCAAGCTTGTCTTAAGCTGGCCGTATATATGACACCGGGACTAGTTGAAGGGCGGTTCGAAAAGGGCTGAACGCCCGGCTATTATGTTAGAAGGAATTGCTCATCAGAGGAATCCGCTTACAATCGATGATTTTCTCATTCAATGTGGGAAACCACCCTGATTGGCACGGTCCTCTGGATTAAGACATCCACGCCGGCCTTGTGCCTGGCGAGGTCTGTTGGACACTCCCGGAAAAAAGAGAAACGGCAAAACCAACGACAAACCAATACCTAAAGCGAAGCCCCAACACCAAATCTAGAAAAGACTCTAGAATGGCCGATTTGTTGGTTCTAGATTCCCTGCTTCTTGTGGATATGGAAAGTTTCAACCAAAAAGCCAAAGTTCAAAGATCCAACCAAGTACCCATGAAGCTACCGTCGGTATGGTGGGCTTGCAAAAAATTGATAGTTTTTTTTGCAGCCAGCTACTAAACATGAAGAGAACTCATGTTAAAAAAGAGAAAACTAAAAACATGCAAACAACAGTGAAGATCCGGTCCTTCGGTTTGGATGCGCTTTTGGTGAATTTTCACCCGTTCTTCCACCTGTATTCTCATTTGTGGTACTCGTTTAGTACTCTTATATCTTCTTGCAGCGGTGGTTCCACAAAAGCGCCACATCCAAATCATTTTCTATAGAGGGATCCTTACATTACACACCTGAACATTGCCTTGTAAATAGTGGTTTCCCCTTATGTTGGTGGAAAAGCCTTGTTTCAAATGGGCAAAGTGTATCTTTTAAGGAGCCCCACTAAAGCACTCCCGCTCCTTTCCACCGTCCTCAGCCGTAGCGCCTCTTCCTCTGCCTCGGCCCCGGCTTTGGCGCTTGCCTCCAGCGCAAGCAGCTGGGCGCGGAGCTCCTCAAGCCAAATCGAAGCTGGACACGACACCAAGAAGCTATGGATGCGCATGTATGCATGTGTGCATGTGTTTCATCTGCGTGTACTGTGCATATGCCATATACGTGCCTTTTTATGTATGAGTGTACTACGTATATGATAATCAAGAGAATATGAACACCATGAGCATGTGTTTGATGGCCTGGGTATAAGCATACACAGCTTACCGTGCGTGCAATCAGCCCATGCGTATCTAAATGTGCATGTGCTCGTTTGTGCTACGACCCGGCCAATTGCTCGTCCTCCTCTCGATGTTCGCTGGCTGCCGCGTGTTCCTCGCGCGCTTAGGGAGGGGGCTCGTTTTGCCAAGGAAAAACCATGGGACTTGGAGACAACCAGATCCCAGTTTCCCTGGGATGGAAAACCAGGGCGTCCCAAAATTGGCGAGTTGGCAAGTCCCGTTCCCAGCCCGTAATTCCATAGGGAGGGGCTTTGTTTCACATCCATGAGATGAGAGCTGATCTTTAATTTCCATGGTCTTGGTGGGTGAATAGGAAACAAAGTAGAACCAGGGAGGCTCATGATTTTCTGGTATCACACGTCCCCTGCGAACCCCCATGCCCAATTTTGGAGGGGCTCTGGATGTTGAGTCCACAAACGCCAATATTTTTGCACCAGGGAATGAGGGAATGCTGCTGCCAGCACTTGATGCCAATAGGGTGGTGGAGCCGTCTACGAAAATGTCCAATCGGCAACGGCTCTGGGCGCTCAATTGAAAGATGACATCAAAGCCATCCTGCCTCTGTATCTTGAAGGCGCGCACGCAAATCGCCCACCGCTTCTCTGATGTCAGCCGCAGTTTTGTCCTCGACGCATGGGATCCCAAATCCCAACCCCCCCGCGCGCCCCACTTCCTGGCCCTAGCTTGCTCGCTCTTCCCCTGAACAAAAGGTCAATCACCTTAGGGTCTATGCGGGGCGATTCGATGCCATGCTTCCAGCCAGCCACAGGAAGTTCGACCAAGAATGAAAAACAGAATCCGGCGAATGTCCCGCAGTTCCTGCTGGCTCCTCAGACCGCCCCTGGCCCGTCCCTACTTTCTCTTCCAAAGACCCTCACTTGCAGCCTAATAAGGCCCCAATCCGCCGACCCCAATGGTCCAGAATGGACCATGCTTTCGGCATGGGGGCGGTGTGTTCTGTGTTGCTTTTGTTGATAAGCTTTCTATAAGTTTAATGTGAATATGATTATGTATATACATATATATAACCTATATGTCCCTTGGGGCGGCCCTTGGGGCTGGTTTCTACGTCGGCTGGATTTCTGGATTTCTGGATTTCTGGAATTTTTGATTTCCCCCCCCCCCTCCCCCCTCCCCCCCTCCCCCCTCCCCGCCCCCCTCCCCCCCCCTCCCCTCCCCCCTCCCCCCCCCCCTCCCCCCACCCCTCCCCCAGTCGTAGTCTTCCGTAGTGTTCCGGCTTCTTCCCGTAGTCTTCCGTAGTCTTCCGGCTTCTTCCAGTAATCTTCCGTAATCTTTCGGCTTCTTCCAGTAGTCTTCCGTGGTCTTCCGCCTTCTTCCAGTATAATCTTCCGTAATCTTTCGGCTTCTTCCAGTAGTCTTCCGTGGTCTTCCGCCTTCTTCCCGTAATCTTCCGTAATCTTTCGGCTTCTTTCAGTAGTCTTCCGTAGTCTTCCGGCTTCTTCCCGTAGTCTTCCGAAATCTTTCAAGCTTCTTCCCGTAAATTTCCGCAATCTTTCGGCTTCTTCCCGTAGTCTTCCGTAATCTTCCGGCTTCTTCTCCTAGTCTTCCGATACTGTTTCGGGACCAAACAACGCGCGGGTCCTGGGCTTTCGGGCTTCTTCCCTAGGCTTCGGGTAGTCTTCCCCCACCCCTCGCCCCCCCCCTGTGTCTGTCTATGTCTGTCTACGTATCTGCATCTGTCTTCGTGTCCGCGAAGACCCCCCCTGCCCCTGCGTGTCTGTCTGTGTCTCTTTGTGTCTGTCTGGGTCTGTCTGCGTCTGTCTTCGTGTCCGCGAAGACCCCTTGCGTGTCTGTCTCTGTCTCCTTGTGTCTGTCTGTGTCTGTCTGTGTCTGTCTACGTATCTGCGTCTTTCTTCGTGTCCCCCCCCCCCGCGTGTCTTTGTGTCTGTCTGGCTCTGTCTGCGTCTGCCTGCGCATCTGCGTCTGTCTTCGTGTCCGCGAAGACCCTCCCCCCCCGCTGCGTGTCTGTCTGCGTGTCTTTGTGTCTGTCTGTGTCTGTCTACATATCGCGTGCTTTCTCTCGTCCCGGGCCGAAATTCTAAGGTGTGTGGGGGCGGCGGAACCAGGCCGCAGGCCATTAAATAACATGGTCTTTGGCAGGTCGCTGGGACGATCTTGGTGGCTTTGTGTCCAAAGAGGACCTACAAAATCACCGACTTTGCCCGATGGATTGATTGTGTCTGGGAGAAAAGCAGCGCCTACAAAATGGGCGGCTTCCGGACCCGGGCACCCAGCAAGGCCAATCCATAGCCCAAATGGCGGACCGGTGCCTTGTCCGTTCTATTGGTTTCCTGGTGGGGCCAGGCGGTTCCCGTGCAAGTTCCCCAGGCGGATCCATGTCCAACCCACCAGTTTCCAGACATGTTTTTTTAAGTCCAGGCGGTTCCCGTTGGGTGTCTTGTGGTTGTCATAGATTCGAATCGGTAAGTTGTTTGCTGGATGGTCCATTCCCTCAATAGGAATCATTGCGCTCCAAAGTCCCTTGAGGTCCATGACCGTCCCTGCCCCAAGTACAGGAGGGCTGACCATGGCACATAGTGCTTCAAACCAGCCCTGCCATCAAGGTAAACCCCGCCACTCAAACCGCTATCAAATGAGACCCAACCGTGCAAAGTGATCTGATCAGCAGAGCCAAAAGGAAACAGCAAACAACAAAGCAGCCCGCCCCACTTTTTCCCGAATCTGAGGTCACCAACATGTGTCACAGAGACTCACAGAAAACTAGAAGGAAGAAAAAGCGATTGGAAGAGGAATGAGACCAGCACATGGTGGCTTACACTCCATTACTTCGCTCTCTTCGTTCACCCTTGAATCACTTCTCCTCACAGACAAAATGATTTCTACAATGAAATCAGATATAAACTCATGTTGGTGGAGAAAATGCATCATACAATAAGTCAAGGGACTGGTAAATTCTGACATCCTGCACTTATATTCCTTGAATTAACTATAGTTGTATTTGATTACTATCTTGAGCACACGGCAAGGTTCAAGTTTAGTCAGCTCAAATAAAAAATAGGACTGTTTTTTGGGTTTACATGGTTCCGCAACAGCTGAAAGTTTTGGGGTCTCAGCCCAGATAGGCTTCGGGGTGGTCCGGGGCAACCCTGAGGTAAGGTTCCACGAGGGTTCCACTACGGTTCCACCAGGGTTCCACCAGCGTTCCACAAGGTTCTGCTGAGGGCTGCGGACTGTTGGGGATATCACCTGAGCTTACTATCTTTAGGGTTTCATAGGTGCGACGTTGCATAAGATACATAGCACTTTCTGATGAAGGTTTTGGTTGGTGACTTGCAGTTTATTTGGGTGTGTCAAGGTAGGGAGGGCGGACCCCAACCTGTAATTCTTATTTCATTCAACTGCAATACTATCATTTTCTTCCAAACACAGAGCAAGTTTCATGTTTAGTCGGCTAATCGTAAACAAAAACAGGACGAAAACTGGAAGTTGTGGAGGACCCCAAACCAACCTTCGCTCCTCCACGTGCTTCAGCCTGTCGCGCATCTGCGCAGCCTCCGCAGACGCCGCCGCAGCCGTCGCCGCAGCCGCCGCCTTTTGGCCGACGGCTGTGGATGGCCCACAGCCCCCGCGCCAAGCGGTAGGTGGTTTTTCCCCTTAGAAGTTCATCCCATGTGGTGCGAAGGTGAAATGTATGGAAACAACTATTACGGATTCATCCCTCTATTACAAGAGGGACATGTCTGAGGCAAAAACAAAAAGCTTCATACCTTGCTAGCGGGCAGGGATCCTTTGCCTAAATGGCGCGTGGTGTTTCGAGTTGGTACCAAGGGCTTCACCTTGGTTTGAAGGCAAACCATAGGAACACCAAGGGGAAAGTTCCCTCCCCATTTTGACCCACCCAATACACTGCAAGTCAATAAGCAATGTCTTCAGCAGCAGGGTGCCAAAAATATCTTATGAAACGTCGCGCCTCTGAAACCCTATAAATAACTATGTAAAACAAGGTATGCATCGGGACCAAGATCGGTGCGGGGGGGGGGGGAGGGTTGTTACTTGAATTGCACATGATTGACCCTTACAGCAATGTGGGAATCCCTTGTGTGATACTTTGTACTGCGTGTGAATGTCACAGCTTAATAGCTTTGCTTGTGCATTCCGCAGTAACCCACAGTCTCACAGAGAATAGCTGCGCAGCCATGAAAGAGACATCAGAATCAGTCTCCGCGCCTTGTCGTTCTGACTGCTTGGGAATGTGTCAGTGTCCTTTGAGCCCTGTTTGCGCTACAGGGGGGGTCGGGGGGAGGGGGGAGATGGTACCGTTCTTGTTCATTGAAAACACATCTTATGAGTTCTGTGCAGTCATGGTGACTCTACTGAACGGCGTTGCTGCTTTTTACATGTTGGGACCAAGATCGGTGGATGTGGTCCATTTTCATTCCATCCAAAAACAAAATCACAATTGCTTGACTCAAATCACTGTGGAATTGGCCACATCCACCGATTTTGGTCCCGACACATGGCTAAAACAAGAAACAACTAAAAAGCAGTCCTATGTTATTGTAATGAACCTTCGATGCTGTGTCGGTCCCAAACCAACTCCCGGCCGGTGAAGTCACTTGCGGCACTCGTGAGATCACCGCGCTTCGATTGCATTCGTTTTTGTTGTGCCCCGCCTTTCCCATGGTTGTTAGGGTGCTTCTTCTGGAGGGAACCCCCAACCCCCCCGAAAGGAAAAAAACAAGAAAGCCCCCAATTAGTGGCTGTTAGCCTCTATTGGAATTGGGGAATCGGCATGGTGCCTCTGAGAATTGGCAAGTGGAACCCTAGAAAATGACATATCCCATTTGGAAATCCGGAAATGATCATCCTGGAGCTCGATTACCCCTGCAAATGAGGTCGTTCTGTTGTGTGTCGTAGTTCTTTTTCCGGATGTCTTCTTGTAAGCGTGTATCAAGACTTGGCACCCCTCCAAATGGTTGGTGGTTCACATTTTAGCTTTGCAAACCATGGACCTCACCAGTCAATTGCTATTCACAAGCTGGAACTAGATGGCCTGGGCAAGTAGCTTACATTGAAAGTATACGAGGGCTGCAATGGTTGTTATCTTGGGAGTAACCGGGGGTTGAGGACCTCCATCATGGGTAAGATCAGAGTTCCCCCCCCCCCTGTATCAGTAAAGCTCAACATGCTTCTGTTGCTATCGTATTCTTAGGCACAAGATGGTACTTCTCCAGGAGGCGCCGTTGCGCCGTTCTTTGTGAGGGCGGCGTGTTTTTGAATAAGATAGTCTCTAGGAAGTGTAGAAAACCTCCCCACAAAATACAAACTCCCGGCCCAGCCCCTTTGGTTGTGGGTGAAGAACCCTCTAGTAAAACGGTTGACTGCATTCATGATTCACGACGGAACCAAAAATCGGGCAAGAGTCGGCTTGATTCACCAAGGAACACTTGGGCTTGCTAACAAACCCAAAATAGGCTGTTGCGAAGGGAACTTTGGGAGTTCAAATAAGGAACAAAAAGGAACCGATTTCAAGAGGCATGGTTGGTTCCCCGTTTCCCTTTAAACCACTCCTCAGCTGACCTGCTGAGATCACTGCGGGGCAAGTGTCGACTCTTGTTGCGCCTTTATATACACGATGAAGCCATCTAGCTGCAAAAAGGTTTTAAAGTTTGCCCACTGAAAAGGTCTGTTGGGACAAGATCCAAGTCCTTGTTTCACGAAATGCATTTTGCGGTCATGTCGCCTCAGCCTGGCCCGCAGTGGCGTTGGTGGCAGCTGCCTGATCGCGCGGGCGAAGCGCTGATATTTATTCACGACCCGACAGGATCCAACTGGTGAAGGGGCCGTGAACGAAGACTTATCGAGTTGGTCAGCAAAGGTCGCACCAAACCTTTTGTTTATGAGCACAATCGTCCAAGCCCAAAAGGTGGCTAATGTACTCACGGCCGGAGTGAGCCCGAAAAAGCAACCAAACCGTTTAAACCTTTGCTTGCCATCAAAATGGTCTTCCCACGGTGGCGGAAACTCAATTCTCCCATTCTGTTTTTTTGTTTTTGTTGCGATGTCACGCAGGACGACTTTATCACGTTTAGAGAACATTTGGTGGCCTCACGAATAAAGTCCTAAAACCCGTAGGAGCCAGCAATTAATTTTCCGTTTGTGGATTGCCCGCAGGTCCACTTTAAATCCAGGAATGGTTGAGTTTCCCCGAAAGCTAAACCTTACGCCTTTAAGTCCGGTTCGCTTCTGTCGCCGCCTTCGTTACGGACCATCCACATGCGAGAAGCAACAAGCTTATATCCTTTGCGGGGGTCTAAGTCTGGTCAGTGTGTCGCCTTTTGGCTCAGGCTTTCAGTTTCTTGACCCAGCGAGTTTGCCCCAAGCGCTGCTTCGGAAGGCAGGTGAAAAAGGTCGCCAACCCCATACCTGGGAGCGAGCCCGATACGGTGTATGGACTGAATTCAGCCACGACAAAGCAACCCATGCTTACCCCTTAAAACTCCAAGCCCTGGGGAAGTTAATCTTTTACAGACATATAGCCCATGTTACCCAAAAAGTTGAAAAGCTGTGTTTTTAAGAGGTAAGCATGCGGAAGGATGAGAGGTGTCAAGATTGGGAGGGGTAAGTGACCAGGCTAAGTGGGTGACCAGGCTGATAGTTCCATTCGCGCAAGTGAAGTGTTGCTCATCGAAGACCTTAGTCATATGGGGGAGGTAAGGTCAAGAAAAACTCTGGACTTGAAGTCCCCGTCCAAAGAGGGTGGAGTTTAGATGTTTGCACACTCTCGCGGAGAAGCCCCGTACGCAAAGCGGAAAAAGCTTCGACTGCAGAGGCCCAAAGGTTGGGATCTCCAAGACCGGTGATGGACTCTTGGGTCGTCCGGGCACGGAGCCGGAGGGTCGTGGAAAAATGAATGAAAGAAAAAGCAAAGGCAAACAGTTGAGAAGGTCTGCTAGGTCTGGCGATGAAATAGAGATCCAAAATAACATTGAACCAAGCTTCGAAAAGCTGCCCTCCACAAACACGTGCCCTAAATGAACACATGGGTTCCAACCTACTAATTATTCCCGAAAATTAATAACTTGGCCGAACGTCCAAGTAGGGGGAAAATAAAGTGTACCGTGCAAAAGCACATGCCCAAAATTAAAAGACCAAGGGATGTCGGGCGCGTCGACTGTGTCTCTCGTGCCTCTTCCTGCAACTTCGCCCGCAAGTCCCCCACCGCGGCCCGGATGGCGGTGGCGGTTTCATCCTGGGAGCTTGGTGTCCAGGGGTGCTTGTTCAAACAAACGAACCCCTGAGAGGCCTGCTGATGTTCATACCCGTCTGCCCAAAAGGGGTATACACCCCTTGTAAAGTGGGTTGGAAACACGGAAGCCAAGGGGAACAAGGGGTATATACTTCCACCCTTAGATTGTGTCCAGATGGGGAATGCCTCAAATCGAGTGATCTATGAGAATGCTCATGAGGATGCTCTTGAGGATGCCCCACAAGTTGTGGCCAATGAGGATGCTGCTAAAAAGTGGTCTAATAGTTTTAATGCGGACTCCTGAGAAATAACCCCCCCACTTAATCTTTAAGGGGGGTCCCTGCTTCGTGGGGAATCCTCTCTTCCGAAAGCCCCACCTGATTAAGAACTCTTAATCAGGGGCCAACATTAGGTGCGACCAAATGATCAAGTCGCAAGGATAGAAAGTTGGTTTGGCTTAAATTTGCCTTGCCTTCACCAGGGGTCAATGTTCTGTCGTGCCAGGGGATGTTGTTCGGTGTGCAAAGGCTTGCCAGACCCTTAAAAACTGGGGTCATTGCCCAAAAGACAGGGGCCATGACCCCGTTTTCTATGGGTCACGGAGACTCTAGGTAGTCAATCCCCCTGTCAGCTTTCTTTGACCCTGGACACCGGGCTGTCTGAGTCCTCAAGTCTCAACTCGGCTCGGCTCGGGGGCCCTCGCCTCGGTGTCTCGCAGCTTGCGGCGCAGCTGTTGAGTCTCCGCGCTGGCCTCCAGTCGATTCAGGTCGCGGCAGGTCGTGTACGCGGGGGTGTGACATGCGTCACAATCTCGGCTTGAGGTCCTCCAGAGTTGAGGTTAGAATAAGTTGGTACCCGATTTTGTCTTCCTGCAGTCTATTTTAGGGGAACCCTCCCAACCAAAAAAAAAAAATAGCTAGAGAACCTAAAAACCTTCCTACAACAAATTCTCCATACTCCATGGCGGTCGTTGGCCAGGAGTGCGGAGGTATTCGATTGAACAGATCGGGAAGGGCGCCACCTGTTAAAGTGGTCCACCGAAGACCATGTCAATCCAAAAGGTTGCCTCACCCGTTTCTGGGACTGGCGCTACTCATCCTGTGGCCATGGGAAAAAAAGGGCACCCTTGTGCGCGTCGTCGATAAAAGGGAAACCCCCACCGGGTCTCTGGGCCGCTTTCAAATTGCATGAGGCCCAATTCGAGAGATCATCGGAAATTGCACCTTCGGGCTCCCTTCAGATTCGGGGAACCACTAGTGAGTCACAGTCCAAGCCTGATATTAAAATGGCACCACCCACACCAATAAAAAAGAATTCAAAGGCGGCCGCACCTATCGATGGTTCGGATTGTCCCTGGATGTATCCAGGTTTTGATTGTGACTGTGGCTCTAGTGACGTAGTCTTATGGACCTCGATGTTCCCAAGTCTCAAGGAAGAGAGAGAGAGCGAGGGATGCCAGACAGAAGTTTTCCCGCCATCAGTGCAGGGAGATACTCACTGCAGGCCAGGTCAGCTTAAAGCTGAAGCGCCCAAGTGGTTTTGGGACCAATCATAAAAAAATACCCAAGGTAGAGCTCTTGCAAAATGCCTTCCTCAAGTAAGCGTCTTTGGGGGAATTCTGTAGGTGTACGGCCAAGTTGTTTTTGACCAACCAACAAAATACCCAAGGTAGAGCTCATTCTTCATCTTCCTCCGGGGATTTTTTGCCTAACCCAACAGTCAGTGAGTAGTTCTCACTGGGGCATTTTGCCTGCACGCTCATAGTGCCCTAGGTGCCTGTTGGAAAATCGAAAGGCTGTGCTTGAACTGGCGTCTTTGGGGGTCCAAAGCCGGGAATCGATTCCCCGGCGCCGAGTTGGCCGCATCCCGCATCCCGCGCCTCAGCCTGACCCATGGATGCTGCCGCAGAGGCCTCCTGTCGCAAGCATTCTGGTGAGGGCTGTGCCTCAGATGCCCCAGTTGCGCAAATAAGGGCATCCTTCTTTGGGTTGGTTGACTTTAAAGGGCAACTGGGGTGTATCCATTTGCAAAGATTGCAGTTCAATGAGCCGGAAATAAGGCTGTGACAAAATAGGGGGACCCCTAAAACTGTGCATGTCCTTTTGGCTTCCCTTTTGGTAGCCTCAAGGGGACCTGAGGCTGCAGGAGAACCTGATCCTGAAGCCTACCTAAGCGCAGAACATGGAGTGGCCACGCTGAGATTCCCCTTCACGCAGGTTGGTATTGCGCTGCATGCCTTGCCAAGCAGGGGCAAGAATATAGCCTACAGCCCAGCACTTCGCAGGATCCTTGCCCGGCGCATTCTCCGACGCGCGCGGCACTTTAGCTTCACACATCCGAAAGACAGTGCCGCGCAGATTGGGCCGCAGTTGGCGGCTGTAATGTTAACCCCGGATTCATTGCGACCAGTGAGGAAAGCTGGGGTATAGCCCTCTAACCAGATTAACAACAACATGTTATCTTGGCCAACCACCCAAGTAGCAAAAGGGAGCCAGTTCTCCCTCGGACTTGAGACCTACGATATATGGCACGGAATTCACCAAGCAATGGTGGGTGCACGGACCCCTGAACCTAAAGCCTTAAATTCGAAAACCCTCAAGCCCTGAACGAAAGTGGTTGACACATTACCTGGTGCCTCTCTTCCGATCGAGTGGATGGCCACAGAAAGTCTCCACTTCTTGTCAACCACTTCATTGGTCTTCCCAAAAAGTCTGAAGTTACGGAGCTCAGGAAGTAAGTTTCTGAGTGCTAAATCAGCAAGGAGTGGCCAAATCAGGAAACAGCAGCCATTGAACTCACAGCGGATAAGAGTCATCCTTCTATCGCCTTCCATCTGCACACGATTTTGTCAATTCACTGAATATGTATGAGGGATTTAGCAGAAAGAAAGGAGTAAACCCGTGAACAAAGCACAACTATTTGCAGCTCGGCGAACATGAATCGGCTGGCGGGTTCCCACTATCCATGCGCAAAGCAAACAATGCACGATCCAAACATGTAGCCAGCATAAAATGAATGAACCTTACATTCGTGTGTTCGCTAAATACTACAAACTCCGCCTGAGTTGTTTTTAAGTCGCAAAAAAAAGAAGAAGAACAAAAACAAATTCGAAATCCCCAAAATATAGGCAATCCCCAGGTACGGGATCAACACCATGGTGAGCTCGTTGCACCCCCCCCCAAAGCTCGCCATAAACCTAAGCGGATTGGTTGGAGTCAGACCCCGCCTCTGCCGTCTTCAGCTTCTCGCGTAAGTCCCCGACCGCTGCCTTGATGGCAGTCGCGGTCTCGTCCTACGATGATCGAGGACGGGCGATGGCATTCTCCGCTTACTGTCCTCGGTTGCGAAATCTGCTCCCCTGCTAAAAGTGACTAGTTGTTTGTGGTTTAATGGGGAAAACCCAAATTAGTTGGCAAAAAGTTAAATGTCATAACATCCCTTGGCAAAATGCGGCAAAGTTTCTGTGATGCCAAAGTGGTGGATTCCCATGCGTGGTCGCTTTAACAGGTTTTTCCTGGTATTACAGAAATGGCCCTAAAACCCAATTTTCCACAACCCGTGGCATGTTTGCTTTTGTCTTTGCTTCACTGCGTTCGTGTTTGGAGGTTGGGAGCTGGTTTCCCATTTACCCTCTACAAAAGCCAGGGGTTCAGATGCCCAAACCACCAATAGAAACCAAGGCTTCCGTGATCTTTCGTTGGAAGGCGCCTCAAAACGAGATGCCTACTGCATCTGCTGTCGTTGGGAATCAAATCTAAACCCATTTCCTGAGGCCCAACGAAAATTGCGGGTGTTGGAAGGACACCCCGCCCAACGAGTTGGAAAACGGTTCAGGCTGGGAGCAGCCCTTTGTCAAAAACATGCACACGCAACTATGGTTGTTTCACACAACTTTGGGTTGCCGCAAGGGGACTGAGTTGGTTGTTCAAGTGTTCAAGCAAGCATGATAAGCAAGCATGATCCAAAACTAATGTACAAAAATAATATCAGTCACCCCCCCCCCAACACCCCCAAAAAAAACCATGAGACCCGGAATCCCCAAACCAAACTTCTCTCCTCCACGTGTCTCAGCCTGTCACGCATCTGCTGTGCCTCCGCATTGGTAGCCGCAACCAAAAAAAACGATGCATGGGCCCACCCCCAAAGCTCTAAGATGCTTTCCACTGACTCCAAACCACCCCCCCCACCCCCAAAGGAAATTGAGGCGATTGGATAATCCATATATAATATAGTGGCTTTGTTGTGGTTGAATATGTTGCATATATAACCTCTAGCCTAGCCCCTACATAAAGGTTGCATGCACAGTTTAGGGGTAGTTGTTGGGGGTGGTGGATGCCATCTTAGACACCCGCTAGATATAGGATAAACACACTTCCATACCTACAAGTGGGCTTGCGAGCCCCTTACTCCGGGGGAATGTCCCTTGCATACATTTTATTTTTTGCGGTGTGGGGATTATTTTTAAGCATGTCGTTGTGTGCTTCTCATCGAGGGCCCCCGTTTTCACCTTGGTTTCAGGGCAACCCAAAGGGAAACCAAGGAGAAAGCCTCATGGTTTGAGGTGAAAGAGAGGCGTCATATAACTGATCAAGAAACACCACGGTTGAGACGCGATATGGATGTGAATACTTTTCAAAAGGGTACCTGTTGTTTGTGGTGTTTAAAGGGACACCACGAAGCGACACCCCAATTTGGGTGTCCCACTATAAAAAGTAAGCAAGAGTTTCTGAAAGAAATCGTATAATGGCAACTCTATAAGAAACCTCTGATGTGTCGTTCCCAAACCCACCTCCCGGCGTGCGAAAACGCCGCTCCGCGCGCGAAATCTCAATGTCGCTTCGGTTGCTTTCGAGCTTGCGGCGTCCCGACCCCACACCCCGGCCCTTTTGACTTTTGTGCAATCGGACACGAAAACCCGAGACAGGAAGGGCCCGCTTTGCGGGACGCCAGTGCCCTCCTGAACATAGGTGACCGTTTGGAACATAGATGGGGATCGATGGTCAATGGAGTCAACGAGGCATAGAACACATCCACGAACCAGCGGAACCCAACTGTTTCTATCCAAACCTGGGCACACCCAGCTCCTGAACAGGTGCCTCGGGACTGCAAGCTCGGATTGAGGGAGCCACGGGAGGTCTTAGTCGCTGGAGTTCGAAGGGAATTTGTGGAAAGCCGTGGACACGGCTTGGCATCCGAGTGCGAACCGGCCAAATCGGAGGCATCCGAAAACCAGGTTCCCTTCTTGGTTCGTTTCAAACCCCGCCCGAAAAGGATTCGAAATTGAGAAGACATTCCCAAGCAGGGCAAAACAGAGCAGGAAATCATCCCAAGTCATCCCAGTCTGTGTTCGAGGGCATGTTGTTCCATTTCAACCCAGCGAAAACGCAGGCACCGTGTAGACATTCTCGTTAACAGCCAAGTCATGTCACAGCCGAGTCGCCTCGGCCCCAGCGGTGGCGTCAGTTGCAGCTGCCTTCCCGAGTCCCGAACGCCCGGACAGAAACGAAACGTCGCGGAGAGTTGTTTTTCTGGATTTCCTACTTGGATGTTCCTGGGCCCTCAAATCCCCTGCTAACTTTTAGTGGGTGTGGAAACTACCACTAAGCACAAGGCGAAACAGCTAAGGAACCGGATGGCCTTCGGGAGCCAGGTTCGGCTTATTCACCTGGATGTTGAGATCCAAATGGGAAGCCACCCCTAAGCCCCAAACCTCTCTAAGCCAAGTAGAGCTTGGGTGCTCGGTTCGGCCAAGTTAGTAAGCTGTGATCGTTAAGCTACAACCTGCTTATAAGTCCCCCTTCAGAGCTAGTCTTGCTAGTGGGTACCCCAGGTGGCCCACCACTTACTAACTTGGCAAAGAAACATCCAAGTAAAGAAAGACACCGAATAACCCAAGTTTGAGCCTTAGATTGCTTTTTGTCAACAAAAACCCGTAAAAAAAGTTGGTTGAAACCAGTGCCTTGGTAAGCTCTTCCTGGGTCTCCGCACCTCTTCCTGCAGCTTTGCTCGCAAGTCCCCCACAGCGGCTCGGATGGCGGTGGCGGTTTCATCCTCGGCACGGTTTTTTTCCAGTTGGGTCGAACATCCCTACCTTAAGGGGCAGGGAAGGGGAGGGTGTGGGGGATGCGCCAATTCCATTTTTGTTTCGTCTTGCGCATGAAAGGGAGCATGAAAGCATAGATGGAGTTCCAGGCGTCACCCCCCCCCCCTCTCCCATGATTCCATTTATGATGCGATGGGCACGTCCTTTATATAGCTCGTCCGTCACTGCTCGTGGTTCGCAACATGCATCCAACTGAAATCGTTCCAATGACTCATTGAAGGGGAAGCTCCCAAGTCACAGAAATGCTTGGGGGACCAAAGGCTGGAAAGTCCTACAGGACATCATCTAGAGTGGCCTTTCCCTCGCTCGTTTTCCACCCCAAACTTGCTCATCATTTGGCATCAGCTTAGCCCTTTTGGCTCGAAGGTCCGAGGCTTTGGGGTCCAACAAAATCAGCGTGCCTAGTTTGGTCCAATAAGCTCCTTGTGTGGACCTGCGACGGGTGCTCCCAAGCCCGAAAGGGGAAAGGACAGGCCACGGGTTTCGAGGTGCGGACTTGTACTGATCCACTCCTACAGTGGCCGTGGCAATAAGATGGCAGCCTTTCTCTTTGGGGCTGGTTGCTTTCAAAAGTCAAATCTCCTAAGAAAGAAGACTCAAGCCACAGGAGGTCTATCTTGTTTTGAGGGGGAACTTCCCCTGAAACCATCACAAGCAAGTCCTACTGTTGGGCCAGCCAAGCAGGCTAACATGCCCTTGCATCGCAACGATGTTCTTGCTATCATGAAGATGCTTCCCTTCCCCCCAGTGAAGGGAAAAACAAACAGCATTGAATAATCTGCAACACTAGCACACAAGATCTGGCACGCACTGCAGCTCTCAGGTGAGTTTGAACGGCTTACCCGTCTTCATGAGTAACTTGCCATTGACGTAGCCGGGCTGATGCCATGCTGGTTGCTCTCTGTGTGCTTCAAGCCTGTGCAGCAGCGGATGTCGCAAACATCCGGGAACTTGATGAAGTCTTGAGTCTGATCTGGTTCGAAGGCAACCTGTTCGAACGCTGACTCGGGGTTACTTGGGTCCCTCCGTGGTCCCCTTGGCCTTGATGCTGCAGTTGTATACCCAAGTGATTCACCCATGCCTCACTTGCGCAAAGCACCAGCACAGAAAAGGTGATCACCTTTTGGCACGAAAAATGAACCCAACCGGCAAACCCAAAAGCTCAAATCGATTTACTTTCGGCTGAGATGCTTATTGAGTCCCACGGCTTCTTGGTTGCGGTTTCAACGACCCTGCAAAAAGTTTACAACTTGGGGGGTTCGTGGGGAAAACACAACTTGATTTCAACCAAAAAGTTAACAGGGATCCGGATGCATTATACACCTGAACATTGCAACTGGTCAATGGTGGGTGGTTTCCCTCTATTCTGGTGTTGAAAGAGCTACATGTTTCAAATGGTTGCAAAATGATTTTCTTTTAAGGAGCCCTGTGGAAAACACCTTTATTTGCCAAAGTTAACAGAGATCCTTACATTATACCAAAAAGTTAACAACTTGATTTCAACCACAAAGTTGAAGTCCAAAGACCCGTTGCCCAATCGCAGTCAAGGGCTCTAAGGGCCCTCGCCTCGGTTTCTCGCAGCAGCCGGCGCAGCTGCTCCGCTTCCGCGCTGGCCTTGCCGCGCGTCGCGCGTCGACAACATTTCGCGCGGGTCGGTCGATGCAGGGCGGGCGCAAACGTGGAGGAGGACCAAAAGGGAAACCAAGTGAAAAACCAAAACGGTTAAACAAAAAATAAAAAGAGGGACACCACAAGGAAAACCAAAAGAGGAACTCAAGAACAAACTGTGGGTTTGTGTCTTTTCAATCGAATCCAAAAGGGAAACCCTTGGGAAACCCTTCCAGGTTCTTCTGGGTTGCTGTTGCCACTGAGGTTTCCGACCCTGATAAGGCTCGAGGCTCACGCGAGAAGGTATCTGTTGGCGGTACCGGCAAACTCCACGAGACAGGACCCCCCTCCCCCGCTTTGTGTGGTTGAAGTCCGAAGAGCTTCTAACGTCCCTCTAAAATTGACCCCAGACCCAGACCTCCAGTGGTCAGGGGTAAAACAAGGGACACGCGTATCTGGGCCGCCCTCAGATCCCCCGCTAAAAGTAACTTTTAGTGGAGTCCACTAAACGGCTAAAAGGCTAGGGGATGGCTGGGAGCCGCCAAGGTATTTGTGGGCAGTTTGATCGGGCCCATGCCTTGAAGCAATCCAATACAAACTGAGCAAATAGTCAAGATGTGCCCAATGTCTCAACCAAAGGTACTTAAAGCGGGAGGGTACTTGGTAAGTGGGTAATAACCATGGCTACAATGGTCATAACCCACTTACTATGGTTATAAGTCTTCTAAGTGGGTTATAGCCAGGCTTACTGACCACTTACAAAGTACCCGATCGCCCCTTGAAGCATTCCATCGTCCGCGTCAGGTTGCAACCCATCTCCCCATCTCGCCTCAGCCTCACCCGTGGCTGCTGCTGTAGAAGCCTCCTGCGCGGCAGTCGATTTGCATTCAGGTCCCGATCACTGATTTTTCTGAGGACTTATTGTGTATGTTCCATTAACCTGTCGTCGTGGGATTGCTTGCCACTTTTTGAACAGAAGGATCCTTGCAGAGAATGGGGAGGGTAACGCTAGAATGACCAGGGGCGCAACACATTTTCTTGTGTACAGCCTTCAGAGAAACCTTGTTCAAGGAGGGTAAACCTGCAAAACAGATATTTATTGGGAGACTTGTTGGATTATCTTAGGTTGAAGACAAGTGGACGGGAGACCCTTGCTTGCCGTCTGGAGAGGTCCAGATCATTTTGTGAGTCACCGAATTCCAGTTGCAACGAGTGACACGAAGGCAACCTGTTCGAACGCTGACTCGGGGTTACTTGGGTCCCTCCGTGGTCCCCTTGGCCTTGATGCTGCAGTTGTATACCCAAGTGATTCACCCATGCCTCACTTGCGCAAAGCACCAGCACAGAAAAGGTGATCACCTTTTGGCACGAAAAATGAACCCAACCGGCAAACCCAAAAGCTCAAATCGATTTACTTTCGGCTGAGATGCTTATTGAGTCCCACGGCTTCTTGGTTGCGGTTTCAACGACCCTGCAAAAAGTTTACAACTTGGGGGGTTCGTGGGGAAAACACAACTTGATTTCAACCAAAAAGTTAACAGGGATCCGGATGCATTATACACCTGAACATTGCAACTGGTCAATGCTGGTTTCCCTTGATTCTGGTGTTGAAAGAGCCACATGTTTCAAATGGTTGCAAAATGAATTTCTTTTCAGGAGCCCTGTAAAAAAACACCTTTATTTGCCAAGGTTAACAGAGATCCTTACATTCTACCAAAAAGTTAACAACTTGATTTCAACCACAAAAGTTGAAGTCTAAAGATCCGTTGCCCAATCGCAGTCAAGGGCTCTAAGGGCCCTCGCCTCGGTTTCTCGCAGCAGCCGGCGCAGCTGCTCCGCTTCCGCGCCGGCCTAGCCGCGCGCCGCGCGTCGAGAACATTTCGCGCGGGTCGGTCGATGCAGGGCGGGCACAAACGTGGAGGAGGACCAAAAGGGAAACCAAGTGAAAAACCAAAAGGGTTTAAAAAAAAAGAAAAGAAGAAAACCACAAGGGAAACCAAAAGAGGAACTCAAGAACAAACTGTGGGTTTGTGTCTTTTCAATCGAATCCAAAAGGGAAACCCTTGAAAAACCCTTCCGGGTTGGTTAGGGAAACAAAAAGCAACACCACCCACCAAAGTGGCTCCCGGTATTTTGACAACCTAAATGCTTCCCCTTTCCAAGAGGCGCAAGGTCTGTTCGGTGGGGCAGCAGAAGGCGAGCAGAAAACTGGCCGTGGCCCACATGATCATCTTCGACTGGCCATCCCTAAACGGGTTGACAAATCAAACATCACCTCCCAAAGTGAGTCATAGTACAAACACCCGGTATCAAAATGGTCTACCTAAGACCAGAATCAAACAGGCGCCCGCACCCAGTAGTGGTTTTTTGATTGTGGCTCCAATGGGGCTTCCAAGGTAAACCCTCAAAAAACGGCGGGGAAGTTTCTTCTCAGTTGCAGTTGCAACTGACGTTTCCTACCCCAGTAAGGCTTGAGGCTTACGCGAGAGAGTATCTGTTGGAGATACCAGCCAACTCCACCAACCAGAGCGCCCCCCCTTGCTTTGTGTGGTTGAAGTTCGAAGAGGGTCTAACAGCCCTCCAAAGTTGACCCCAGACCCAGACCTCCAGTGGTCAGGGGCAAAACAAGGGACACACGTATCTGGGCCGCCCTCAGATCTCTCGCGAAAAGTAACTTTTAGTGGAGTACATGGAACCTACCACTAAACGGCTAAAAGGCTAGGGGATGGCTGGGAGCCGCCAAGGTATTTGTGGGCAGTTTGATCGGGGTCCATGCCTTGAAGCAATCCAATACAAACTGAGCAATTAAATAGTCAAGAGGTGCCCAATGTCTCAACCAAAGGTACTTAAAGGGGCAGAGTACTTAGCAAGTGGGTAATAACCATCTCTCTCTCTCTCCCCACCGCCCCACTCCCCCCAATTCCTCTCCCTAACACCATCTCTTTCTCTACCCCCTTGATTACCCCTTCATTTCCCCTTCATTTCCTGTTCATGTCCCGTCATGTCCTATCATTTCCTCGTTATTGCCTATTCCTCCTCCTCGGGATCTTCTTCGCCAGCGTGCCATGGATGATGTTTGTTAATTGCAGAGCCAGCGCAAGCGCGTACTTCAAGCCCTTCAGGCCCCTCCCTGGCGGCTCCATCGTTGCTGCCTCCAGCATCTTCACATGCCTTGCAAGGAGTTTCCCCAGCTTCCAGCAGCTGCCGTCTTGCGTGTCTGATTCCCAGCCTTGCGCGCCATCTGACGGCTGCTGCTTGTGGATATTGGAACTTCTTTGGAGCGGATCTTTGTAGTTCCACTCCCACAAATTAACATGGAACCAAAAAAATGCGACCTTTTAAAGGAACCTCCCTTTTGGGGAACTCCTTTTGGGCAACCTCCTTGTTGGGGGTCCATGTTGATTTGCAGGGGAGTAAACCTTGCCGAGTAGCCAAAAGGCTCACATCCTGAGTGGGTTGTCCAAACAAACAAAACTTCTTGCCACACTTGGCTCAGCCAAAACATCGGCATGTTCTTGAAAAACAAGAGCTCCACCCCAAGCAACTTACAAGATACCACATCGGTGAGGTCACCGATTCAAGTCCGGAAGCATGAATCGGGGCCTTGAAGAATCTGCACTTTCAAGTCGTGAGCCGCGCCCAAACCTGACTATGATTGGGTAGCATGGGTGACAAAGGCTTAAGCCTTCCCAGCTACCCATACTCAGCTGTTCAGTGACCCTGGAAAAAAAGGGAACCCTTTTGGCACGTGGCGCGCAGGTCACAGGGGCATGCCGCCACCTGAACCTAGATAAAACGGGCAACTGGTGCCCCGCGAAGCCGATGTGCAGGGGGCGATGCCACACCCCACACATGGCGAAGTGGGCAGCGGAGTGCTGCGTGAAACAGGGTGCCACCCGAGGTGGCACCCCAGGCCCAGGAGGCCCACACTCTGTGCAGTGCCAGGCCAAGTGGCCAAGGCCTGGACACCACACTGCACTGGCCACCACAAGCGCCAGGCCAGAGACTCGTCATCAGCCAGCTCAACAAGACCAGCAATAACTCCACCACAGCGCCGAAGAGGTAGAGAAGCAGCACCACCGTGGACCACCACCAGAACAAAGCCCAAGCCCGAACGGGAAAAACAGCTCGCAGTACCTTCACCAAAAAAGGCGTTCAGAGGAAAGAAGCAAGCCACGAACAGAGCCAATCCCCATCGCAGAGATTGGAGCATGCAAGGCCAGGGAATCCTACACGGGTACCACGAAGTGTAAGGGCAGCGCCATCGGTCTGCAGAATAGGGCGGGTTTAGGGTTTAGGGTTTAGGAGCCGAGACAATGTAGACTGCCTGGTAGAAGTAGCCACCAAGAAGTGCCGAGAGAAGACCAAAGAACAGGGCCCATCCCTGCATACAAAGATGGGCGCATGCAATGATGCCCCCTCCAATCTGATCCACACCTCGAAGCCAGGGTGAAGTAGAGACAAGTCCCACGAGGTGAAGGACCCAAGATGACCCAAGAACTGGCCGAACAAAAGCAGCGCATCAGTCGAAGGAGTCGACAGGTGTATGAAAATCTTGAGGAGCCAGCAGAAATACACGACATACACCATACAAGCTCGATGAAGAGCTCGACGACAACCAGAGGAACCGAGCGGCCGCCAGGGGAGGCTGCCTTGTTGGACGCCTCACCCCTCCATGGAGAGGCAGCGAGGCCCAGGGGGCTCAGCTCCCAGAACCCAACGGCTCAGTGGCTCACTCTGAGCCGAGAGGGCTAAAAGGGAACCCTTTTTTGGCAAAACCATTTTCGTGGGGAAGCCACCAAAACAAAGGGAAAAAGAGAACCACTGAACAAGTGAGGATATAGCGGTAACCACAAAAATCATGAACCCTCGCCGGCCGGCTCGATCCGCCTGCATCTCCACCTGAGTGGGACATGCGGATTTGGATGCAGAAAGAACTGGGTCTGTGGGCATGTGGCAGAAAGTCGGCGAGTCCAAAAACGTGGTGGTCCTTTTGGGTTCCCTTTAAAACCACCCCAAAGAGGGCAACATCCAAAAGATTTACACCTCCATGTGAACATGCGGGGTGTTCGAAACCATGTTTGGGGCTGCGTCCATGTCAAGCACCAAATTTAGACCAGCAGTTGTCGCTTTCAAACGGGACCTGAGAAAGGCAGGGTCTCAGGAAACGAGAGGCTGCGAGCCTCATAAGTTTGGAAGGCCCGATGGGAACAATGCGCTGATCCCTCGCTGAACTTTTCGGGATATGGACGCGTCTGTTGGAATTGGTTCCCTCACGCCGTGAGGGAAACCAGAAGGAAAAGTCGCCATTTTGGGGAGTCCAATAAAAAAGTTGACGCGCCCGTATGCTTTGAAGACCCTAAACCCTTAAGAACTGAAAACATCTTCGGAACCCTATGGCTGGGAGAATGGCAAAAAAACCCTCTTCCGGCACGACAGGGGTTTTCACGTTTCCGCAGGATGCCCCAGCACTGCAAGAAAGGGAACATGGACACCGCTTCTCTACCGTAACTTCCAATCGGGGTTGCGGTTGATGGTTGGCTTGCTTCCAGTTGCTTAAGTCCCCTGGGAAAAGGACATGTCTAGGAATCGAATAGTGATAGATTCCCTTTGAAACCAACTAGCCGGAAGTTTAATTTGCAAATGGAGGTTTAAGCACATGAAACCAAGAAAATACAACATCTGGCGCAAATGGCAGTTTACTTGTACCGCAGGAACTGGCGGGAGACCGGGTTCCCTAGACAGTCTCCTTTGATTGAAATCACCTTTTGGACCGATTTAACACGAGCTTCCCTTTGGTGGGGAATCCAGAACGCCAAGCCTCGGTTCATTTGGAGCACGCTGGTGGAAAATGGGCCCCTTTCTGTGCCGCCCAACACTGGGCCATGTTCATGACTGGCGATTCCGTTGCTGGTGTTCAAAGTCCAATTTGCTACAACACTTCGGAATGCTTGCAAACAGCAAGACCATCTGTAGATAGGTCCGCTGATTGGTCCATTTGCCCCAACACAAAAGCACAACTGATACAATAGAAAGGCAACCACTCTGTCCGGTTGCACAAGCCCCAGCATGACAGGGATGATGGAGCCAATCAACCACTGCCATCAACGCGCGATGCCTCAGACAGGAAGCAAATAATTGACTAATCACTTGCAGTCAGTCTCCCTGAACTCAACTCTTTGTGTCATCCCTGCAGGGCGCTTGTCCCAAGGCAACCGTAGAAATCGCCACAAGCATAAATTAATAAATCAACTGATCACGACATCAGCACTCGGCAACCTATGCACACTGCCTCAGACAGAGAGCAAACATATGACTAATCACTTGCAGTCAGTCTCCCTGAACTCAACTCTTTGTGTCATCCCTGCAGGGCGCTTGTCTCAAGGCAACCGTAGAAATCGCCACAAGCCAAAATTCGTACATCAACTGGCGTCAGCACAATCACCACGTCAACACTCGGCAACCTATGCGAACTGCCTCAGACAAAGAGCAAACATATGACTAATCACTTGCAGTCAGTCTCCCTGAACTCAACTCTTTGTGTCATCCCTGCAGGGCGCTTGTCTCAAGGTAACCGTAGAAATCGCCACAAGCCAAAATTCGTACATCAACTGGCGTCAGCACCATCACAACGTCAACACTCGGCAACCTATGCACACTGCCTCAGACAGAGAGCGAACATGTGACTAATCACTTGCAGTCAGTCTCCCTGAACTCAACTCTTTGTGTCATCCTGCAGGGCGCTTGTCTCAAGGCAACCGTAGAAATCGCCACAAGCCAAAATTCGTACATCAACTGGCGTCAGCACCATCACAACGTCAACACTCGGCAACCTATGCACACTGCCTCAGACAGAGAGCGAACATGTGACTAATCACTTGCAGTCAGTCTCCCTGAACTCAACTCTTTGTGTCATTCCTGCAGGGCGCTTGTCTCAAGGTATCCGTAGAAATCGCCACAAGCCAAAATTCGTACATCAACTGGCGTCAGCACCATCACAACGTCAACACTCGGCAACCTATGCACACTGCCTCAGACAGAGAGCAAACATATGGCTAATCACTTGCAGTCAGTCTCCCTGAACTCAACTCTTTGTGTCATCCCTGCACCATCACCACGTCCCTGAACTCAACTCTTTGTGTCATCCCTGCAGGGCGCTTGTCCCAAGGCAACCGTAAAACTCTTCACAAGCCAAAATTCGTACATCAACTGGCGTCAGCACCATCACCACGTCAGCACTCGGCAACCTATGCACACTGCCTCAGACAGAGAGCAAACATATGACTAATCACTTGCAGTCAGTCTCCCTGAACTCAACTCTTTGTGTCATCCATGCAGGGCGCTTTTCTCAAGGCAACCGTAAAACTCTTCACAAGCCAAAATTCGTACATCAACGGGCGTCAACACCATCACAACGTCAACACTCGGCAACCTATGCACACTGCCTCAGACAAAGAGCAAACATATGACTAATCACTTGCAGTCAGTCTCCCTGAACTCAACTCTTTGTGTCATCCCTGCAGGGCGCTTGTCTCAAGGCAACCGTAGAAATCGCCACAAGCCAAAATTCGTACATCAACTGGCGTCAGCACAATCACCACGTCAGCACTCGGACACTGCCTCAGACAGAGAGCAAACATATGACTAATCACTTGCAGTCAGTCTCCCTGAACTCAACTCTTTGTGTCATCCCTGCAGGGCGCTTGTCTCAAGGCAACCGTAGAAATCGCCACAAGCCAAAATTCGTACATCCACTGGCGTCAGCACAATCACCACGTCAGCACTCGGCAACCTATGCGAACTGCCTCAGACAGAGAGCAAACATATGACTAATCACTTGCAGTCAGTCTCCCTGAACTCAACTCTTTGTGTCATCCCTGCAGGGCGCTTGTCTCAAGGTAACCGTAGAAATCGCCACAAGCCAAAATTCGTACATCAACTGGCGTCAACACCATCACAACGTCAACACTCGGCAACCTATGCACACTGCCTCAGACAGAGAGCAAACATATGACTAATCACTTGCAGTCAGTCTCCCTGAACTCAACTCTTTGTGTCATCCCTGCAGGGCGCTTGTCCCAAGGCAACCGTAGAAATCGCCACAAGCCAAAAATCGTACATCAACTGGCGTCAGCACCATCACAACGTCAACACTCGGCAACCTATGCACACTGCCTCAGACAGAGAGCAAACATATGACTAATCACTTGCAGTCAGTCTCCCTGAACTCAACTCTTTGTGTCATCCCTGCAGGGCGTTGTCTCAAGGCAACCGTAGAACATCGCAACACAAGCACAAACATTGACGTACTCCCTGAACTCAACTCTTTGGGCGCTTGTCTCAAGGCAACCGTAGAAATCGCCACAAGCCAAAATTCGTACATCAACTGGCGTCAGCACCATCACAACGTCAACACTCGGCAACCTATGCACACTGCCTCGGACAGAGAGCAAACATGTGACTAATCACTTGCAGTCAGTCTCCCTGAACTCAACTCTTTGTGTCATTCCTGCAGGGCGCTTGTCTCAAGGTATCCGTAGAAATCGCCACAAGCCAAAATTCGTACATCAACGGGCGTCAACACCATCACAACGTCAACACTCGGCAACCTATGCAAACTGCCTCAGACAGAGAGCAATCATGTGACTAATCACTTGCAGTCAGTCTCCCTGAACTCAACTCTTCGTGTCATTGGACATGTCCTGACAGAGACTCTGTCAGGTCCCAAGCGCACACCACGCAAGGTCCGCTGCCTCAGAAAGAAAGCGGAGATGTGTCTCGTCACTTTCACTCAGCCCGCTGAATTTATCTTTCACTCATCCCTGCAGCGGCCCGGACAGCAGCCTTTCCAGTGCCGTTCACTTGTTTGCACGAATGCACAAAAGGTCTAAGGAAGCTTTGCAAGGTCTCTTTTGTGATTAGGCAGGTCTTTGTATGCTGATGCCGGGCGCCAAATTTGATGGACACATCAAGCCAAACATCCCATCCTCTTAAAGGATTGAAGTTGATACAATATGCTTCTTGCCGCCCGGGATGCGTTCACAGCTTGAACTTCAGCCGAGAACATTTGCACATCATACCTATCGCTGCCCCATGAATTGGAAACCAGCGGTTTGGCTTTCTGCACATTCTGTCCAACAGTCATGGAAGTGGACAGGAGACCTCTTAGCGATGGTAGCCTTCAAACACCCCGTGCACTTCCACGATTGTTGGAAAAAGGGTCACATGGATCCCCCAACAAGAAACACCGACAACCTGGAGTTCGTTTTGGGCTGATGGGTGCCGTCGAGCTTTCTCACTGGTCCTTGCTAGTACACTTCCAATCTGCGATATCCTGCGCCGTCAAGACTCCACGCAGTGGGTCCCAGTCATGGCGCCCTTACTCGGAACTCGTAGAATGGCTCTAGGGGTTGATGACCACCTATACCCAAGCAACAAGGTGTATTGACCATGGCACAAATGGGTCTGTCTCAAAATAGGGGAACCCCTAAAATGGGTGGCTTCCTTGTGGTTTCAGCGGTTTCCCTTTAAACCCCCCCCCCCGGCCCCCGCCCCAGGTACCCTTTAAAGACACACACACACACAAGACGCATCCAACACGAGCTCCATCGTCGCTTCGCTTCGGCGGTGCCCTCGCCTTCTCCTGCAGGCGCTGGTTCTCCTCCATCAATGACCTCGGACGCATCGCGTCGAGTAAAACTCGTCCGGAAAAGCCAACTCTTGGTCGGCCACGCCGACAAAGGCATCGAAAGGCAAGAAGCCGAGGATGATCCACTCATGCCGAAATGGGACATGGGGATTGAGTCTCTTAACATGCTCTTCCCATGCCAAAAATGCCAGAATGCCCCAGCCCCCCAATCAAAATCAACCAGGGGTTCATGAGCTAAAGCATGAAGTCTTGAAACCGGGGAAGTAAGAAAGCAACAGACCTCCCCGAAAAATCTCCAGGTTGGACTCTTTGCCACCTAATTGTCGGAAGTTCCCTAACTTTGACCTCGACCAAGGGGTCCAAAAGCTGCAACATGGCAATGAAGGTAGACGAGGGTGTTTGAGCCATTGCTCTGGTAGGTGTTTCCAGAGTTAACTCCCGATAGGCAAGGGACCTTAATCATAGGTGAGCTCGGTAGGTGGCTCCCCCCGAAAAAAAAGAAGGGAAAAGGAAACACACATAGGCGTGTGTTCCTTTTAGGAATCGCACCCCCAACATGTCTGCGGTGTTGCTTGTGGCTTCCCTTCGATAACCACAGAAAGTGGTTACCCTCCCTCAGCAAAAGAAACTTGGGCCAAATGGAGACTGGGCCAAGAGCCCAAAGAGACATCCATTTGCATTTTCGTCCCCTGTTTTCTTTTTGTTTTTGCTTTTTTAGAAAAGAAAACATAACTATGTCCAACAGTGAGAGATCCCCTTTAACACCAACAGGGCACCTGGCTGGGGGACCTAGTCTGAAGCAAGTGGAAAGAACTCAACGGAGTGCGCGGTCTCTCCGGGCTCCGGGCGCGAGGGTCGCCTGTAGATTCTTCGCCTGGGAGGTGATCCCTGGTTCTGCTGGGCAACGATGGGTCTGTCTCAAAATGGACCCAACGAAAAAAAGTGTTTCCCTTTTTTTGCCCATGAAAACCAACCCATGAAGGAATGATTGCCACACAACAAGACAAGGGTTGGAGAATATCCGGGCTTGCTCCACCAAGAAATCGATTGATCTCCTCTTGGAACCCGTGGTTTCTGCGGGAAACTTTGACCGGATCCGAGCGACGCCAACAGCGTGGTTGAACCACGCATGGAACAACTCAAGCAGCCACTGCACACAAGAATGGAACCTCCGCGGTCACTGGATTTGCCCTTCCAAAGTTGCAATTTACCGGTGGTTTCCACTAAAACTGCCACTTTTGGAGGTTCCAAAAAGGGAAATGGAGGAAACCCTGAAGAATGGAACCTAAGGAAGCCAAACTATCGAATTCACCGAGCTTTGATACCAGCGCTTGCCATCTCTGAACATTTAGCTAGGGGTAAAGTGTCCTTCCCCCCCCCCCCCCTGTTTAGGGGAAGGGCTCCTTATTTAGGGTGTGGCGCATTAAATAGTTACCTTGGGGTGTGGCTACTTTCCAGTTATCAGTAGGGAATCGTTTGAGGGCCTTGCCTTGGGAGCCACAAGGGACGGTTCAATTCGGGTCATTCCCTGACTCTCTGCTGATAAGCAGCAAGGTTCGGAGCCCGGCTAGGATTTGTTGCAGCCCTATTAAGAATCAAAGGACTCTTTTGAAAGGGACCTGAAAGGCCTAGATAACTTTTTAACCGGGCTCCTAACCTTGCAGGTCAGCAGGGAAACAGTTGAAGGCCCCTCACAACGATCCCCCAACTGAACCCTCCCACACGTGGCTTTCATGGAAACTCCCAACCCGTCGCGATTTCACTCCGCTCCACCACACCCACCGAAGAAAAACAAAAGAAAGGGAAAAGGGAGGAAAAAAAATGAGGACACAAACAAATCCCCGCAAGAAGCCTCCCCTGAGACCCTTCGATCGGATGCCGTTGCGGCCTCCGTTTCCTTCTGGGCCGCGTCATCCGTAGTGGACCAGGCCTTACTCGGCAAAACACTCGGCTGTTTGCAGCCCCCTGACCCAAAAATACGGAAGACCCAAAAAACCCTCAACTCCTAAAACCATGCCAGAACAGCCGGAGTATTGTATCCACCTACCATCCGGCCAACGAAACCTATGTCCTGGTGCAGCAAGGTTCAATCTGCCTGTTCTGCCGACAGGCAATAAGTACAAGTGTGAGCGGTGAAAAAGTCCGATTTGGGTGTCTCTTTGTTTAAGGGTACCCTAGTTGCAGCTGGTTTAAAGAAGCACCAAAGGACAACCATCCATTTCTTTGTTCACTCCCCCGTTTTGAGACACATCCATTTCAGACAAGTGACCTTAGAATACCCGAGGCCAATGGATGAGGGAGGCAGTCCTTTCGGGGGGTTGCTCCGTTTCCTGGCCTCTCAAGCTTTTGGTGACAAGGGTCAAAGGGGGATGTGTCAAAGTAGGGTAACCCTCCCCCAAAAGAAATCGATGTCGGCTTTCCTTTGGCGCCTTAACCCCCAAAGTGGTTGGTAAGTACCAACTCTACACGAGCCACATTTGGGTGGTGTCCTTCGCATACCCACCTTGATACCGAAGGTGATCAAAGCTCACCCCGTTTGACGCCGAATCATTAACAGTAACTTTTGTTGGTGTTGTTCGTGCCTACCCCTGGACAACATATAATTCTATGTTCAATAGTGATAGACTCCAACAAGGAAACATACTCCTAAGCAAATGGAAGCTAAGGCTAAGCCCCTTTCAAGCCCCTTGATTGAGCTTGCCTAAAGGCGGCAAAGGAGAATCCTTTTGCCATATGGCTTCAAGTTATCCCTTCTCGTGTCCCTCTACAGATACAGAATAGGATCCCCCATTTTGAAAATCCGATAACACAAATGGTTTGGAAGCGCTTGCTTTACTGTCCTAACATTCAACAAAATATGAAGTATCCGTTGAATATCCCAGGGTGGATCCACAAAAGTTGTATCCATTGCATACCTTGGAGTTAGTAGGGGACCTCCAAGAAACGGTGGTGTGCTTTTGAATTCCTTGGATTCCTCTCTGCAAACCATCCAAGCTGGGGGTTCCTATGGGTCCCTTCTTCTAGGAAAGACACAGGTCTGAGGGCTTACCTCCAGCTGTATAAAGGCTTGCCAGGTTTTTTGTTTGTCAGGCACCTGAAGCGGAGACACCTGCAATCAACGCCATGTTCAAGTATGGGTTGTGGAGGTAAGGGCTTGCTTCCCAGCAGTACAAGCCTGTACGGTAGTGTGCTGCCCTTATTGAAATAGTATATGAATTTCCCAATCCCAATCTGCTTGAGAACTCCCCCCATGCTCTTTCATAGCTTGTCGAGATCGAGTATTGTCACCAAAGGTGCACGCGCCCCACTCTCAAAAGATGGGGTGTGCGGTGCACCTCAGCTACTGAGCTATGTGCCAGGGTACCTAAAACAGCCGGATTCCCGCCGCGAACCAAGTCGATACACCGAAATGTGAGTGCTTGGCGTCAACAAAGGTCAACCTTTGGCTTGCAAATCAATGCGGGCGGCCTCGAGCTGCGGGCTGGCAAATCAAATAGGAAAGCAATAGCCAAAGGAACCTCTCCGGCTGGTTCAGTGGCCCCACTCACAACCAAGATGAGGATCAGGGCTACAAAAGCCAGAAGTAGGTGTTTTATCCCCTACCAACCTGGACGAATATAGCCTTGTTGCACGAAGCCGCTGATGCGCTGATGCAAGCCTGCAGGTTCCTACCCAAAAGACCAGGCCACATTTCACGGTGTGAGGGGCATATCATTACAATTACATAGCCCATTCAAACTATTGGTGGCCCTTATGGTAGCCATTTACAAGCACCAAAGGGTCCGATCTGTTCGATCAGCTTACCAACTGAGGCGCGAAAGCGCGCAATCCATCCACCAGCTTCAGAAAATAGACTCCAGATACACCTGAAATCCCAAAAGCCACAGTCTTTTAGAGCTTTTTTTGGGGGGGACCTTTGTTGGAACTCCATGTTAACGTGTGGGAGTGTAATTTATGTGCGCCCATTCCATGTCCCAAACTTCCAGGGGTTTGAGGCATGAACCATTGTTTTGTATGGATTTCTAGGGCACTACTCGCGGGATGGTTCAGTTCGGGAGTTCCAATGGCGTTCCCTATACCAAGCAATCATCGGAGAGATTCGATTCCGCCGAAAACCGCTGGCGCAGTGCAAGCTCGCTCACTTCATGGCCTTCATGGCCTTCATCGCCTGAAGCTGACTGGCGGAAATTCTTGGAGCGGTTTCTTTGCCGAGGCTTTCCTTTTTTGGGGTGATTGACACTGTGGACAACCAAAAGGACAACAACCATTCGTGGTGGTCTATTGTGACATTATCTTGTCTGTGCATTGCCCCAACACACGCCCAGACTTCGTGTTCGCCACCAAAATGTTCGGTTTTAAACGTATAAAGAGTCCATCAATTTGGGGAGTCAACAAAAAAGACAGAATCATTCTTCCTGGGTGGAATGTCAGTTATACCCTGAGGACGCTATTTTGCCCAACGAAGTATAATGTTCTTAAAGCGACAACGGCATGCCCTGCGGTCGATTCAATGGGAAAGCCCTCCGAATCGCTGGGCGAGGTGATACCCTCGGCATTCCTACCACTTCACCGCACGTGGTATCCAATCGTTTCCAAAGCAGCACTTCTTCGCACAGCTACTGTGGATGGACGACATCCATTTCGCACCACACAAGAAACCCCGGTTTCTGATTCGAGTCCCCAAGTAAATACCAACAAACAATGGTTGGATTCAAAGTGTGGTGCGATTTCTGAATTTCGCAACCATCCACAGTATTCATCAACCCCAGTTTATTCATTATTCGGGGGGTGTCCATGTCTGGATCACAGGGAATCAAAGGGCCATGCCTTCATCGCCTTCATCGCCTTCATGGCCTTCATGGCCTTCATGGCCTGGCCAAACATCTGCCAGGTCAGCTTTGGTGGGCTTCGGCATTTGGATATTCAGCTGGGGTTCAATGGACGCCCAGAGCTGCACAACCAGCTCTTCCCCAAAAATGTCGCTGGGTGCGGCGCGCGCTGGTGAGCTTGGGAGTGGTTTCTTTCAAGAGCCGGGGACACCAAATCCAGGCCATCAACTTTGGGGGTAGGCTGACGGAGCTGGATGCCATGAAGATTGGATGAAGCGCCTGATGCTGGGCGACACCTGGTGCAAACCGCACACTAGGGTATGAGGCACGCTTGAAAATTGACTGCCACGGTTTGTGGTTGGATATGGTTGGTTCACTTGCATTTTGTAGGAAAGCCATGGCATTTGACAGGATGTGCCAATGTGATCTCGGTCTTGCCTACGGTTTCATGGGAAAAGGCGCTGTGTGTCGTGGTTGAGATTTAGGGGAAACCTGCCTTAAGGCAAAACAACAATGCAAAACCTATCAGGAAACAACCAAGCCAGGAGGTTCTTAGAACAGGGATCCGGATGCATTATACACCGATCGAACATTGCACCTTGTAAATGGTGGTTTCCAACTTTATTTCGGTGTTGAAAAAGCAATTCATGTTTCACATGGTTGCAACATGAATTTCTCTTAAGGAGCCCTGTAGAGCCTTAGAAGGGACTTGTCAAAGGCATACAATTTGGACATTTCCTCGCTGGGACTGATGAAAATCCTTTTCTCGCTTGCCCCAAGGACATGGAAGCAAAAGGTTCACCCTTAAGGAACCTTGACTGATGGACCAAATCCTCACATCCCAAGTTGACTGGCGAAATAAAGTCTGAACTTCTTTATTTACCACTAAAATGGTCTTTCCAAAAAGTTTAAAGTCCATCAACTCAGGAAGTGAGAATCAGGGAAATCCAAAGGCTAACCGGGCCAGGGCGAACTGAGCAGGGCGAACTGGGCAGGGCTGCGTGACTTAACCCGTTCTGGCCTGAAGGGCTTGTCCTTGGCTGGGCTAATCCCTCCTGTGGATGGACGAAATCCATTTCGCACCACCTAAGAAACATGGGACACCATGGTTGGTCGGTATTTACAGGGGAATCGGATCATTCCATGGCTTCTTAGGTGCGAAATGGATTTCGTAACCATCCACAGTAGCCCCCCTCACTAAAAGTCCACACAATCTTCCTGTGACGGACTTCTTCGTCTCTCCGGAGGCTGCGGATTCCTTCTTGACGATACAAAGAGTCCGAGGACTGATTAAGACACGCACGGGGGTATCGAACCTGTTGCCCAAACCGAGTGGCTCGTTGATCCCATCCCCTCAAAAATACCTGGTGATAAATCTGGAAATCTAAAAGTCTGACGCTGTGGCTGCAAAAAAACTGCCAAGCAGAATTTGGGGTCTGTGCAAATGCTGATCATATGATGCCATGAGCCATATGCGAGGACCATAAATTCTCCTTAGGCCGCTATAGTTTCCAGATGATGCCTCATACCTTCAAATTCCCTGATCCGCGGATCGAGCCTTCATCGCTTTCATCGCTTTCATCACCTTCATGGCCTTCATGGCCTTCATTGCCTTCATTGCCTCGCAGGCCAACCCAAAATCAGCTGCACGCACACTTGCAGAACATGGGCTATGACAACTCTGCCCTGCAGCCATGTAGATGTTTCCAAAAATGTGGAGACTGCTTGGCTCCTTTTGTGGGGAGCTTAAACCTAAGTGCCTGGTTTGATACGGCTCTTGGTTATCTCAACTGATCCTCCCTAGACTGCTTGAATTGTCTCAACCCAATCCACCCCTGTTTGTTTCCAGGAGCCTGTTTGGGCAACATGAGATAAGGTCCAAGCAAAGAGCAGGTCCCATACCTGTCATCATGCACCCTAAGGGGCTCTATGTAGTGGGTGAATATCCTTGGAATACTCCAAGGGATAGGGCGGCAAAGACCTATTTGGATGTTCGATTCGCCAAGTTTGCAAGGTCAGGAAAGGAATTGATCGGATCGGAACTTTGAGATTGAAACCAATGTTGGTTCCTACTTGGGTGGTCGGCCAAGTTAGCAAGTTGTTGGTAGCCTAGGTTCTATCCCACTTGCAAGTCCACGCCTTCAGAGTTCACGTTTCGTATAATGTTGACCCCGGATTAATAAACCCCTGTTTATTAATATGGGGGTGGGGGCCCCTCCAAAAGTGATAAACCCCCACTAAAACCGGGGACACCCCCATATTAGTAAACAGGGGTTTATTAATCCGGGGTCAACATTAGTTGCTTAGAACCCAGGCGGCCTTTCCCACTGGGCGAATCGAGCCTATCCCACGTACCTAGTGAGGCCTTGAATGCGTTTAAGATCGAAAGCGACGTGTCCCAGAAGCTCCAAGGTTCCGGGCTCCAAGCGAGCAAGGGTAGCACTACGACATATCGCAACGTGGATATTTGCTATGTGAAGACCTAGGTTCAGATTCAGCCTGGATGGGCAAGTCATATGATGAAGTGTGGTTGAATCAAGGCGACTTTTCAAGCCCAAAAAAACGGGGAAACGAGGCCTGAAAGCTGTGGTTGAACCACCAGGAAAGCGGGACGTACGACAAACTGGGCCCATTGAAGTGACATCCTCAGAATTCCCCAAGTAGTGGTGAGTGCAGGGGGGGGGGCACCCTCAATAATAATCTTCAGAACCCCTCAAACTGGTCATGTTGCTGGACGCCCTTTTCGACATGGCCATGGGTCAAAATCCCGTAATTCCAGTGAACATCCCAATCCAACCACTAAAATCGGTTCTAAAATGGGTGGTGCACCTACCCCAAAATGGGATCAGATTGGTTTTGACCCACAACCAAATCGGGTCGATTTCACCCAGAGACCCCCCCCGCTGTCTTCACTGCTGGGCTGGGTTTAAGTTTCTAGGTCCCCCAGCTAGGTGCCCAGCTGGTTTTGACAACCACAGCCACATCCCCTGCCCAGCCTTCATCGCCTTGGTCCGCGCACCTTGCTTCGCCCCCATCTTTGCGATGAAGCTGCGCACAGCCTTCGGAGAAAGAGATGCCGGGGGGGGGGGGGGGGAGCGGAGGGAGGGCGGGGTTCAGATGCAAGAAACGGAGAAGGTTAACCTGGAGTCTCCTTCTGACCCTTGAAAAATGGGGTCATTACCCCAAATGTTGGGGTCATTCACCCATTTTTAAAGGGTCAGAAGGAGACTCCAGGAAAGACCAGGACAGTTCCTGGACGCGTAGAAGGAAACACAACAGGCGCGACAAATGCGACAAAAGACGTCACAAGGGGGAAAAAAGGATCGCAAGATGTAAAAGGCGTAAACACGCGTAGGAAGGCGTAACAAGCCTCCCCCCGCCCCGTGAAGGCACAAAGGGCCTATATATCCCAGGTCCATTGCCCCTGATTTGTCTTCAAGGCATGACGATATCGACATGCGACGCAGGGTGCAGGGCTTTCCCGCCGGCAAAGAAAGGGCCAAGCCGCAGCAACGAGAACGGCCCGGCGCAAAAAGGGGGCGTACGCCGCGCGAGTTTTGCCCGGCTGGCGGTCGCGAGCGTACTTGCGCCTGGCCAGCACTGATTGCGACTAAGGACAAAACAAGTCATGTTTCCCTTAAGTGCATTGCATGGCCGCGACCGACCAGGTTTGACTTCAGAGTAAGGGTCAGCGCAAGGTACGTCACTCAAGTTGGATGTGCATGTTGGTGGCGCTGCTGTCCTGTGTCTCCAACGAGTTGAAAGGTGCTGCCGAAAAACAACCCCCAAGCCTTCAGCTGTTGGGGAACAAGCGAAACCTATTTTCAACAACCACCCTGTCATGGAACATACCCATACTCCCCCCAAAACAAACAAAGCTACAAACAACATGGAACGAGACACATTGCATGAACTTTAACTTTGACAATATGAATCACTCATGATCGATAATTCAACTAGATTAGATCATCACGGAACATACTCAAAACACATACCCCCCCCCCCCCCACAAGAAAAAGAGGACAACTACAACAAAACAAACGACGACATGATCAGCGACAATTCAACTACACCAGATTGAACTTCTCAAATGCAAAAAAAAAAAACATCCCCCCCGCACAAAAAAAAAGAAGGAAAAGACACAGGCACGAGAAAAGAGATGGACGTGGCGCCTTGTCCCCGGCTTTGGTGAACTTGTAGTTCTTCCGCACGTAGGCCATGGTGGACTTCTCCATGGCGTCGTAGCTGGAGCGCCCGTCCGCGGTGGGGCGGCAGGCCTTGCAGATCAGCTTGGCGTCCTCGCGGGGCGCACGGCCCGTGGCGCGTGGGGGGGCGGGGGGGCACGGTCTGTGATGAAGACCCAAGCTGGTTCTACCTGGTTTACTTGGGATTTGAGTAACCCGATTCGAATGTTGTTTGGGATTTGTAGGGTTCTAGACGTACCTTCCAATCATTCTTTCCAGGGATCCTTCTATTCCAGAAGTACCCGTCCCCATTCTTTCCAGGATCCTTCTTTCTAACAAACCTCCTTTGAAATCCAGGGAAAACGGCCAGTAGTTGAAAAGACCGATGGTTGAAGGGAATGGGAAATCATCCCCTAGAACTACTGGAGAACCTCACTTCTGCTTCTGGACTGTTAGTGGTTTGAGAGCATATTTGCCCTGCTTTTTTGCCCTCCGCCATCTTTTAGGGGACACCAAAAAAAAAGGGTTCCAAAAAATTCCTGGCGGAAACAGGGATCCGGATGCATTATACACCTGAGCATTGCAACTTGTGAATGGTGGTTTCCAACTTTATGTTGGTGTTGAGAAAGCAATTCATGTTTCAAATGGTTTCGCAAAATGGACTTCTGTTAAGGAGCCCCGGGAAAGAAGGCGGCGTTTTGTTTGCCCCTCCAGTGGACCTGTTGGGAGTTTGAGGGACCCCTAGAATCACACATCAGGGGCTCAGGAAGGCTTGCGTGGCGTGTGCTTGGTACGTAAGGTCTCATCATTGGGAAGCAAAGGGAAAACAGCCAGGTCGGGACTTAGAGTCAACTGATTTTCCAGGAACCCCACAGTGGCAGGTTCCTTGTTTGGGAGGGTAAAGTTGGTTAGGTGACTGGGGGTGAACTACCTCCAGGCTGGCTGGTGGGTTTTTCTTGTTGGGCTGCCAATGTTCTATCTGCTTGGGCTTCAAATCGGATGCCCTGGAAAAAAAAAGGACTTGAGAAGGGATGGACAATCCACGGTTTCACCAAAGAGCCTTGTTTGACCGGCTCCAGCAGCCGTTGCTCAAGCTATGGTTTCCCTTGGCCTCTGGCTTGCCTGGCTCTGCGGCCAACCACGGAACCTGCCCGACCATTCCATTTCTGCTGCTGCTCTGGGAGGTCCGACCCTTGGGTTTCCCATGAACCCTCCGCAAGAACCACCATTCCAAAACACCAAACCACCAGTCCAAACCACCATTTCTGCAAAATCCAAACCATTCCAAGACACCAATGGAGGACCCGAGAACCTGCCCAATTTGGGTCAAACAAAACAACTTGCCTGTCCCTTTAGAACAAAAGAAACAGAAAAGCGCTCAAACGGACATTGTACTTAGTAAGTGGTTGGTAAGCCTGGTTATAACCCACTTACCCACTTACCATGATCATGGTTATTGTCAGTCTCCTGAGTGGGGGGGGGGGGGTACAACCAGGCTTGCCAACCACTTAAGCACCCGATCGCCCTTTAACTCGGGATTGCCCTAACGAAAAACGATTTCGAGATCTATCAAAGTTCACGAGGCTCCTCCCCCCTCTGGGGGGTTGCTCCCAGGTTCTTCGAGGGGAATGGAGACCTGTCTGGCCATGAAGGGGGCCCTGAATTGTGCCGGATGCCCTGAATATGTTGCAAGCAAACGTTAGCGTAATTTACCAAGGTGTGGTTGAGTATGGTTGGTTCAACGTTTAGGGCCTGCACCGTATGCCAAAACAAACTAAAACATCTGCGCTCGTCTTTCTTCACTCGCGTGCTTCGTTCGCTTCTCCTCGCGGTCGCTTGCATTTTTTTGAGGCCGCCGACCCGAAGGAAAGCAATGGCCAGTGCAAGAGCTGCAACTCAGTTCCGGCTTGGCCTCTTGACTCCCCTTTTGCCTTTGGAAAAAAAACATGTTGGCCCCCGCTCCTCATATCATTAAAGGCTGTCTACGAATCAACAGACTCGCTCTCTCCAGCGAAAAGGAGGTCACAGCTTCTGGAAAATGTCCGATTTGCACTCGGATGTTCGGCTAGGCTAGTAAGTGGTTTGCCACCTGGGTATAACTCAGAACAAGCTTCACGAGTCGAAGGACTTGTCAGCTGCAAGTAGGGGTCAATATTCTTCTATCCGGTCAGGGGGGCAAAGGCAAACCTTGGGGTTGTATCTGCCACCAATTACCAAACTGTGTAGGCCAAAGGCAAACCTTCGCCGACTTCGGAGGAACCGGTGCTGCTCTGAGACCTCCCCACGACTTGGCGATGATTTTTGCTTGCCGCTCAGCCGACCAGCGCGCTCCGTCGCCTATGTTCAGCTTCCCAACTCGGTTTGGAGCGGATTCGCTTTTCAGACCTGCTTTTCTTTTCCAAAAAAAAAAAAAAAAAAAAACGGTGCGGCTGTTCGCCCTGCCTCCGCCTCGCCCTCGTGCAGCTTCTTTCACCTCGTTTGGCTCGCCGCCAACTCGCTGGCTGAAGGCCCCATGCGGACCGTCAAGTGAAGACCTCCAAGCGGTTGAAGCCGCCGCAGGGGAAGGAGCTCACCCGCAAATACCCAGAGCTCTTCTTTGGGTCCAGCGCCACCTCCGCTTTGCAATGGGGAGGGAGGGAGGGGAGGGAGGGAGGGGAGGGGAGGGGAGGGGAGGGGAGGGGAGGGAGGGAGGGGAGGGGAGGGAGGGGGAGGGGAGGGGAGGGGAGGGGAGGGGAGGGAGGGAGGAGGAGGAGGGGAGGGGAGGGGAGGGGAGGGGAGGGGAGGGAGGGAGGGGGTTGGAAGGGAGCCCAAGTAAGGCATTTATGAAGGGCTTGAGAGCTAATTTGGGCTTCCTCGGTTTTACAGGAAAATCATCGTCCTTCCATGGTTTCTTGGGTGATACAGGGTTTCGTCCATCCACAGTATCAATGTGCCATGGTCACAACTCCCATCTCGGAGCTGGGACGTGGTTCTTTTGATTGGAATCCTGGCTTTCGGCCTGGCGAATGTTTCCAGCAAGGTCCAAAGACCAGCCAAGAACCAGTCCAAAAAAAAACATGGAGGGCAACAAGGCAGGGCAAATGTGCTCTCAAACCACCAAAAGTCCAGAAGCAGAAGTGAGGTTCTCCAGGAGCTCTAGGGGATGATGTCCCATTCAGCCATCGTTCTTTTCAACAGCTGGCCGTTTTCCCGGACTTCTGCCGATGGTTTCCTGCAAAGCAGAATCCCTGGAAAGAATGGTTGGAAGCTTCCGGTACAGCCCAACCAATCCGAACTGGGTTGCTGAGACCTTCCCGGAAGGTACTTGAAGGGGCAAACAAAGGTCAACAGGTCAACTCATAAAGGCCTTAGGGTGGGCTCTCCAGGTAGAACTTGCTAAACATGTGACCCCTGTTGATCCCTTTTGCTTGGTTGACGTGGAAAGGGGAGCAACGATTTTAATGTTAGCAGTTAAGTGGTTGGATTTCAAGCACTAAACCACAATAAGTCAAAATTGTAAAAGGTTTCCCAACAACAACCATGTTACCCTCCTGTCCACGTTGCCATGGAACCCACACGAGAGGGTCCCTGAGAAAAGTAACATGGTCTTCCAAAACCCCGCAGTCAGGTTTGTTGGTGGATGGGAGGGGAGTGAAAGGGCGCCAAACCTTTTGGGCGTTTTGCGCTGCTGCCCTGGGCGCCTCCCACTTGCCCCCGGAGAAGTGCTTCACCCGCTGCCGCTCCACCAAGATCCACCACTCGCCGTCCAGCGACTCGCAGGCCTGGCTGCGAGTCTGGCTTCTCATGGGGAATCCTTGAACCGGGCTGCCCTCAGATCCCCCACGAAAAGTGACTAACTCTTAGTGGATTAAATGGAAACTACCACTAAACACTAAAAAGCTAAAAGGTTAAGAAAATGGCTGGGAGCCACCAAGTAAACAAACATCTGCCCATACCTCGAGTGAACCAATTGTGGTTTGAGGAACAAGAGCAGAAAAGAACAGAACAACTGCTCTCTTTTACCTTCTTTTCTTTCCTTTTTTTTTTTTGGGGGGGGGGGCATACTGTAGACTCAACTCATTGGTGTATTTCTTCCCAACATCGGGGTGAAATGAGACAACCCTCCCCCCTCCCCCGGAAAGTAAAATAAACAACATGACTCCAACGACATAATGTGGATGGTTGCGAAATCCATTTCGCACCACCGTTCAGAAAGCCTGGTTTCCGATTTGATTCCCTGCGAATACCAACCTATACTGGTTTCAACCAAGGTTTCAAAGTGATGCCGGATTTCGTCCATCCACAGTACCTCCAGTGGGGCAATTGTGGCTTTTCCTTTTGGAGAAAATGTCCACTTAAATCAACAAAACGCGCCTAAGCAGTTAGAATGGAGTTGTGGGGCACTTTAGTCAATGAGGGCAATTATTTAGTCCCGCATATTGCATGTTTTGCAAAGGAGAACCCTTCCAAACATCCACTGGTGGCTTCCAAAAGTGGCAACACTCCTTCTCAGCTCCCGTCCTGGACCCACGTAACCCCTACACGAACCGGTGGTTCAAATCCCATGAGCAATATGAACCAACCAAGGGCTACCTGTGGGTTGTCCAGGCTACGAGGAAGCTTGGGCACATAAAAATGTCTCTGAGGATACCCACGTTTGGGTGGGTTTAAAGGGACACCAAAGGGAGCACCACCCATTTATTGCAGCTCCCCTCCATTTTTGACACAACGCCACATGACCCTTGGCCAGACGCAAATGGGGAACCCTCAAAACGGGCTTCCTCGTCCCTTTCCCGTTAAAGCAACCCCTGAAAAAGGATTACCCTTGGAATCCCATCGAGGTGAGAGATGGATGAGGTTCCACCGCTCCATTCGTTCGTCCACTGGTTCACCCCATTGCGACCCGGTTGGATCCGCCAGACCCCGGTGAAAAACTCGGGCAAAGGTGCCAACCTCCAAAAACGAGACATAACCAAATCGGCATAGACGCATATGTATGATCATGCATGCATATATATATATATATGTATATATATTTATCTATGCATGTGCGTAAAGACTCAAAAACCAATGGATTTGTAGGTTCTTTCGGAACAGTTCGTGCTTTTTTTCTGATTCTGGAAAAAGCTCGACTTTGCAAGCAAAAGAAACTGTTTGGAAAGAACCTAACTTCTGGGGAAGTTTCTTTAGAATCATGGGTGTTTGTGTCTTCAGAACGTAGCTTCCTACCTGTCATGGAAAGCAAAATAGTGTCAATTGGAAAACTCGACTCTTCCTGCCCCCCACCCCTAACAAAAAACACAAGCCTTTCTCCTGGTGTTTACGCTTTACGAACTCTTGGGTCTTCCGGCACAAAGGTTCAAAACCAATCAGCTAGGGCAAACTCATTGTTTCTATGTACCAAGAAGTGATTCAGGGTTCTATGTACCTTATTTGAGCCAAACCGCAGCTGTTGGTCGTTGCTTCTACGTACCAAACGGTGCTGTTGGGGATTCCATTTGAGCCACAGCCCTGTGGGTATGGGTCAACATTTAACCACCAGAGGACCGCAGGCTTTTGTCCTTGGTTTCATTTACCAGGGCAACCCATTTGGGGTACCCATTTTTGACCCACAGGCATGTAGACACCACTGGGTTGTTGTGTCGTTTCCGTGCACGTGCCGACGCTTGGCCTCAACGCACATCTCCATGGGCGCGTTGTTCACCAGGAAGGTGAAGTCCACCCGAAGCTTCGACAAGACGCAGGGGTAGGCCAACTTCCTGAGAGCTTTTCTGGGGAGGTGGGGGGGAGGGGGTGAGCAGGGGGGTTTTTGGGTGGGGGTAGGGTTTTTGGGGAGCAGGGAGTCGGGTGTGGGGGTGTGGGGGGATATACGCTGGGAACCAAGAAACCACTCCAACTTGAGCCCAGGATTTGAAGGCAAAGAGGCACCTAGAAAATCAGCTTCCTCTTGGGACCCCTGACAAGCAGCCATTGGGCCATGGCAACGTGGGAGACAAGGTCACCAAATCCGCTTCGCAGCAGTTGGGATTGGTGGTTTTGTCATAGGGCGTCACAAGCGGACCATGCATTTGTGGAAAAAAATACTGAACATCGGTCCAGTAGCAATGGTAATGGATTCCCTTTAAAGCCAACAGAAGAAACTCAAAAACCTTCTTCAGCAAATAGCGACGTATCAGCCGGCACTTTCTGGAGGTCGGCCAGCTATGGCGGGTGAGCTGGAATTGGTTTTTGGGTGTGTCGCTTGTTAAGAAATTGTGGCTGTTCTTTGGGTTTCCCTTTAAAGCCACAAAAAAGCGTACCCTCGAAAACACATCCCCGTATAAATCCAGTTGGTCAGTGGCACCGTTGGCTTCCCCATTAAAAATGGTCAATCCAAAAAAGGATTCACTTCTTCGACCAGGGTCACTCCATTTGGTCCCTACCAGAGGGTCGCCTTCAAGGATTGAGGTGTTCGGCCAGGTAAGTTGTTCGTCCCGAAGCCTATAAATCGCTGATGAGCCCCCCAAGTGGAGTTGATCTTGTTGTTCGCGCTAGGTCCTCCAGTAGAGAGGTTAGAAGAATTTGGTACCCGAGTTTTTTTTTTTCTGTAGTCTATTTTAGTAGGGAAACCCCCCCCTTCCAAAAAAGGGGTGAGAAAGGGCGCAAAGCTGGCAAAAGTGGGCACCTAGCTGGGGGACCTAGTTAGCGGGTATTAGCCCAGGCGGCCTTTTTCCACTTAAGACTTGGCAACGAAGGCCCCAGAATTGGCTGCACCAAATGACCCCGGCTGGCGACGCCCCGGCGAAATTCACCAGCACTGCCCATAAATTACCTCCCTCCCCCCAACCAAAAAATCATGTGGGTGTGAGCGGAACCCCCCCTAAGAAAAACGAAGAAGAAGAAGAAGGTGTTCTTCTTTTGGGTTTCAATACAAGCCCAAAGAAGACCAACATGGTTGATTCTGGTTCATCTAGTGAACCCTAAAATCGTGAAATCATGTCAAACCAAAAAGAGTTGTTGGACTGCTTCCAAAGCGCCACAAAAGGACCCGGGGCCCCTGAAAGGAAATAAACATATTTCTTGAGGCGTTCTGCCGTCAAGACTCCTTATGAGGGCCACGGATCCTGAAGTCCCGAACCTATCCCTGCCCACAAGTAAAAATGAGGGTGCGAATTTCGGTGAGGGTGTTGTGGGAATCATTGCCCAAACATTGAAAAAAGAACCATGCCTTCCGGTTGGTTGTTGGTACCTCGACAAGCATGCGGCATATTCACCAATCATGACCGTTTGCAATAAAAAGAGTATGCCCCAGTTGCCCACGGCAGGCTTGTTGACTTTTTGGACTACGCAGAAATCATCATCATTCAGACCAATTGAATTTGCTGCGTTGTATTCCATGAAACATATATTCAAGAATTCACCAAAAAGGATTGCATTCCCTGCAACAAATTGAGTTTACCTTGCCCCTTTGGGGTCAACAAGCAACCAACCCGGCCCTTGGCAACGGAATCACTGACGCACCGAGGTTCACCACCAGCTGCACCACACCTTTGTCGTCAGCTGACGCGCCCGGAAGACCTTGCAGCGGACCAAGACAAGCAAACACATCCTATCCCCCTTGTGAGGATGTGAGGATGTAACACAGACCACCCTTTACCCAAAGGGCCGACAATGCAACTCCATATGCGGGAAAGGTTCCCGTACATTGGCTATCTGAAGTCCTACTAAAGGGGCAAGTAAGGAATCGGTATTTGAACCATGGCACTTCTGGCACATCCTCACATGAGCAGCAGCCTACCAACACAGCTATCAAGGTTTTTGCATACGGTTTACTATAACCCCGGTTAAACCGGGTAGTAGCACCACCGGGTAAAATGGGTTGCCCTTGTGGGAATCGGTTTTGGGAGGCTCGAACTTGCCCATTGGCCGGCCGTTCACTTGACATGTGAAGGGACCCGTCAGGTGCCCAACATGACTGCCATGGACAAGCTTTCCATGAACAAGTTTGACTGACCGACTGTTTGGGGACTTGAATTCAGGCATGGCAGGCCGTGAAAGATGTTTCTGAATAATTGTTGGCTTTTCTTTTTCCCGGTACATTGGACAAGTTGCACCCGTGAACCAAAAGCGAAGACCGTGAAGACCGCGCCGAGCTGTACCAAACTTTCCGGTGACCGAGTTCAACTTCGAGGGGGGTTCGCCTGGACATGGGCCAAACCAACCAGGTTGCAAGGATTGGAACCGAGAGGGAACTTCCGCATGCACCCTCCTGACTTGCACAGGGACCTGGAAATACAGGGTGATCACCTTTTCGGACCTTGGAATGGACCATGGGGAGATAACCTGAGTCTGCCTGGGTCTTGCTCAATTGCAACCTAACTTACTAAAGGGCGCGCAACGGCTTTTCAAGGACTCTTCGAGAGGCAGAGGATGTTTGAACCATCCAAAGTGGATGTTGCTTGGGTTTTCCCAAAATTATGGGTGGCTTGCCTCCCGCTAGGTCTCCCTTTAAATACCAAGGGAGTCCGAGATCCATTTTGAGACACCCCAAAAGGCTCACCAGGCAACACGGAGCCCGCCTTGGCGGCTTCGTTTGGACTCCAAGGCGTCGAACATCGACACCGGCGGCCGCGGGCTGAGCACGTTGGCCGCAGCACTGTAGTGCTGGTCGCTGGCCTGGGGTTGTTTGTTCAGGAGCTTCCGGCAAAAAGCTTAACTGGTTGCTCCCGCATCTTCATGTTCGGTAACATGGCCGGACTATGTCGGACCAAGAACTGGAGGTCAGATAGAACGAGGTATAAAAGGAACTAGGAGGAGAATACAAGAAGTTAAAGTCTAAAGATCTCACCCAATAGCAGTCCAGGGACCAAGTACCTCAAGCCTTTTCCTGACACCGCAACACTTGCTGGGTCCTCCAGTAGACTCCCCCAAAAAAGGGTAAAAGGGCACTACTGGGGGACCTAGCTTGAGTCATGATCAAAACCTGGCAGTAAATGGTCGTAATCCCAAATCCATGTAAGGAGAAAAAAAAGGCGGCCGCAGCAATTCCGGCTGGGACTGCCCCCCAATGATCTTCAGGCCTACCCGAATCGGTTTTGAGCACGTGGCTCACTTGCGGGTTCTCAGCAGGTGTCCTATGCCAACGACGTCTTCGTCCAGAAACGGGTGTTGCCAAAACTTGAGCTGTCCGTTCTCAGTACTGGGCTGTCCGTTTAACCAGATTCCCCCCCGCTACAAGTGACTAGTGGGTGAACTGGAAATCCAGCCACTAAAGACACTAAAAAGCTACAAAGCAAAAAAGCTAACATGCTAAGGGGATGGCTGGAAACCACCAAGAGAAGGTTTTCTATTGTACCCAAGACGTGTTTGTGCAGAAAGGCGTTGACAGGGTTCTGGGGAATTCTCCCTGTGTGGTTCTCACACTTGGGGAACGAGATAAAAAAATGACCCCAAGCCATCCGGATGCTTCCAGAAAAATGTCCTAGGTTCCTTCCAGAAAGCCTTGGTGAAACATGTGCTTGGGGGAAACAGCCCAAATCAAGCCGGTCTTTAATCCGGCGTCGGCAATCGTCGGCGCTCCCATTCTAGATGGTCGGGCTTGGCGAATTGCTTCTTTGGTTGTGAGGGGCTTGGGCGTTCCCAATTCAATTATTTCCCCGTGGCGTTTGCCCGCTGCCCAAAAAGTCCTTCTGGTGGGAAACCACAAATCCCCCAACAAGTTCAAGGTTGAAGATCCAAGCAAACAGACGCCAAGACCTAGCGATTCATTCCCGAGCCACCCCAGGCAGTTGTGGCCGAGAGTGCAACGTGCCGAGGCGCCGAGACGATGCACGCGCCAAGTGCGGCGCTCGCCACGTTCACGGATTCCCCCGGCTGCAGTGCCCGCAGGCGCTCGGCGATCTCTTCCGGCAAAGCCACGAAAGGCGCGCACAGCCTTGCCCCCGACCGGGCGAAAAAAAATAAAGGGGACGCCATGTTGATGGGCCGGACGAGTGGATTTTCTGCAAAGACTGAAAGTGAAATGAAGGAGACCCAAACGGGCAAAAGGGCAAAAAGGTGATTGGACCATTTTGCTGTACCAAAGTTACCAAGGGGCACCCCTTTGAATGACAACCATCATTGTCATAGCGATGGCCTGCGGCATCTCATTAACTAGGTTGGTCCAAGAGTCTCCGTGCAGAAAGTTGCAACCGTCTAGTTATTTGGTACAAAAACAGGGCTTCCTATATTTCTATCAGCGGAGTGAAAATATAGGGACCCCTCACAAAAGAAGCCAATCACTGCTTGCAGGTTGGGAACTTTCACCGTTTCTGGAAAGGCGAAAGCTTCGAACCAATGATAACCAAGGTCTACCTTTTTGAGGTCGAACCCCATAGAAGATATCCGCCAAACACCGGGGGATGGGAAAGGCCGGGGGGTTTTGCATACCTAGCAGGTGGATTCTAGACATACAAAGTGGTTGCGCCACTGGGCAACCAAGCAGCGGCTTGGTCACAGTGGGGATGGGGTCAGTGTAGCCTCGGATCGCTCGAGTAGATTGTGGCAATGGGGGAGGCTTGATGGGTTGAGATTTAATCCATTCCCGGGAGCTGTTTTTATGTTCACCGGTGCGAAAATTACGCTCAACCACATGCGCCTGTTTTGCAGCGCTGTCAACATCTGAGGTAAATGGACAACCAAATCACCCAATCCAAACACCAATTCCAGGGAAGCTGAAACGATAAACGAACTCACAGCATAATGACGGTCCTTTATCGGGGAGATTCCTGATGTGCAGTTGGCGAATTTTAGCACAATTGGCCCGGATGGAGCTGTTTTTGCGTGCAAACGCAAGTTTGATGAACTGACTATTGTGTTGAACATATGCTGGCCCCGAACTAGCTGGATGAGAACCACCAATCCAAACCACCACGTGGGTACGTACCTGATTTGTCGAACAACTCCCCCTGAAATAAGACTCGCATCCCCAAGGACCCGTGCCGGGGGTCGCTCCTGAGAAACCCAAATCCTTCCCTTCTCTCTTCTCCCTTCTCTCTTCTCCCTCTTCTCCCTCTTCTCCCCCGTCTCCCTTCTCCCGCATCTCTCTTCTCTCCCGCGCATCTCTCCCGCATCCCCCCGGTTACACTCTTGACAACTACCGCCTCCCCAACGGCCCCATCCTCAGCTCGCCCGCCGAAGAAACGCACCGAGCTCGGCGCCGACGCCCAGTCCACCGGCTTGAAGTTCCGCGCCAGATCCTCTCGCAGAAGTAGGGCGCGGGACTCATGGCTGGTGTCCTTTTCTATCCTCCAGATTTGAGAGGTTAGAATAATTTGGTCCAACTTTCTTGTGTAGTCTATTTTAGTAGGGGAACCCTCCCCCAAAAAAAGGGTGAGAAAGGGCACTACTGGGGGACAGAGCTTACGGTTTCCAATTGCCAATAAGGCCAACAAAGGGCCCCCCAAAAAAACAAGACGGACCCGGATAGGCCTTCCTACAATCAAGCCCGGTGGTGCTCTACCCTCCGGCCAGAATGGCCATGTTGCAAGTGGTTTTGGCGCTTGCGCTTCCCCAACAGGACATTCGGAACACTCGTCCATGCAACAAGAGGAGCCCTGCTTAGATGGTGTTGGGGTCAGCCAAAGTGGCAGTTGTAATCAGTTGCAGTGGTCCTGAATCAGGGCTCAAAACGATCAAGACGGTGCCCCCTGAGAATGAGATTGTGTTTCCGTGCTCCCAAAAATGGGCCGTCGTCTAACGTGTGTTGTAGGTGGTCCTGTGGTGGATACCCAGCCATGGACATGGCCTGAAGCTCAGAGAGTCCCCATTTCCGAAGAAAAGTCGTCTAAAGGGGCCTGTGCGCTTCCGTATGGAGGGAAACAACAGTCCAGTATATAACCACAAATGAATCAACCTAACGAAATATTATACGGTAATTCTCCGGACACCCCAGTCAAACTCAGCCAGGACAGCATCATGGGTCAACTTTACATCACTTGCCCAAAGGACCTGAACTAAAAAAGCGCACCTCCAAAATGGTGAGCTTTCCTTGTTTCCCTTCTTGGATGTTCAACCAACTGAGTAAGTAGGTTATAAGCATGGTTATAACTAGGGTAGCTGGGGTTGGTCCCCTTGTAACCACCGTGTTTAACCTACTTTCTAAGCTGGTTGAACAGCAAAGTTCAAATAACCACACCCAGAAACAGGTCTCCTCCGGCAAGTCTTCCGGGTAGAGTCCCAGCCGAGTAAAGCCCCCATCCGGGAACATGCGTACCCGAACGAAGCGGAAGGGAGGCGAAGAAGTGCCGAGATCCTCGGAGTCACAATCAAACCTGCCTGAATTGCCAGTTGCTGCTTATTCCCATGAACTTTACCCCCAAAACCAGCAACAGTGACTGAAAAAAACAACAACTTGGCTATCTAGGTCCTACTCAAAATCCAAGGTGGCAATCACTATAACATGTGGCGAATGTGGCAATCAATTGGCAATCCACGAAAATTGCAATCCAAGATCAAAACCCAGGACCTCAATCAGAAACTCTGGTGACAAAATCCCATAGCTGACAGCGCCAGATCCTTTGCCAGCCGGTGGTTTCTCTTTCTAAAAAAAAATAGCAGAAAATTCTGCAGGAATTCCCTGGTTTTGCTGTTGGCCAACATCCCTATAACAATTCCTGGTTCTGACACCAAAGGAGTCTGCCCAAGAAGGGTGGTTTGGGGTTCAAACAACAATTCAAGCAATGGTTGGCTGCATAGTTCACCACCGTTGTTTTCATTGGCCCTTGCCATTTGTTTAATGGGAATCAGTTTCTCACCCTAGGGGGTGGATATCTGCACCTATGGCTGGGATTGTCCCTAACCTTACCCGAATCGGCTTTGATTGTGTCTCCAGTCAAAGAGTGTAACCCAGGAAACCTGATGGATAAACATCAGTTTGACGATTTGTAGGCATTTGTCGCACGTGGATTGGCCAAAACCAATCAAAACTGCTTTGTCAAGCCCAGCAACTGCAAGAGGCAGTTGATGCCAGGCGAAAAGAAAGCAAGAACACCATCCACCGGGCTCCCTATACTTTACATTAAAAAACATAAACTCACTGCACATTGGCAACCAACGGCAATGTTTAAAAACACCTTTCACTGGGAAATAGAGTTGGAACCCTCGTCCCACCCTCCCTTAGTTCCCCAAACCTTACCTCACTTGCAACCAAAGGACCTGGACACAAAAGGTTAATCTTGGGGGCCAAAAGGGGATTTACAAATGGATGAGCAAACCACCTCCTCACAGAAGCTCCTGGTAGCGGAACTGACACTGGAAATGGAGTTGGAACCATAGGTGTCCCTTTGGAAAAATCGATGGGTTGTTCTCTGGTAAATGGATTCCACTGACCACCCAAACTCCCACTTTTACCCACTTGGGTGGCAGATGTGTTCCAACCTCCAGTTCAACAACTTGCTGCTGCTCTGCAAAATTTCTGAGGGAATGACCCCTATAAACCATCAATCCTATGGCTTCCTATATTCGGGAATTCGGAATTCCCTTCCGGTTCATTCCATTTCTCACCTGCATATCGCACCAGCAAGACAAACCTTTTGGCAGTTGGAACTACAATCAAAAGGACACAAATGCTTGGAACCCCACCTCCACCCCCCCGCCCCACACCCCGTCAACCCCCCACCCCAACGCCCCCCGCGTTCCGCTGCCAAAGCGCCAGCAGGCGGTAAGCGTGCGGCCCCATGGCCAGCTTCGGCACCAGCGTGCGCCAGCCGCTGGCGCCGTTCGAGCCGCTGGAGCCATCGAGCTCCTGGAGATCGGGGGAGGGGGGGGCGGGGGGGGGGTTCTTGGTGTGTTCCATCCCATCCTCCAAAAAGGGCTGTGGTTTTTTTCGAGGCGCCCTCTCTTTTTGGTGGTTCTCAAAGGAAACCAACACTTTGTTTTTGGTGGGTTCAAAGGCAAAACCCAACAGGACAACCGCCATTTCACGGGTGCCCTACAAAAACGACACACCATGGGGGTTTGCCTCTCAAATAGGAGACCCTTTTGGTTTTTCTTGGGGAGGGGTTCTGTTTGGCCCCAATCCAACAAAGGGTGTGTGCTTCCACATGTGGGACCCACAAAAAACAGGCGGTGTTCACACATCGCTGGAGGGCAGGAATGAAAGCAAGCAATGGGCACTGTGGACGGTGACAGGGGAGCATCGAGCCTGCCACTTTGGACATGATGCCAGCCACAAATAAGAACACACCGTGTCAACGCTTGAGAGCTTGAACATATACAAAAGACCGCTTCTGCGCAACCCAGCTCGACGACACACAGCAACAAGCCTCATTTTTTTAAAAAATCTGCGGAACCCCGTAGTTTCCCTTTGGTTCACTTGTAAGATCTGATCCGGTCGATCCGCTCTTATTGCGAGTACGCGTTGCAACCAGGGGGCTGTGGGTGATTTGCCTCTTCACTTCTGTAATACCAGTGGGAAATCGATTTTCCAAATGACTAATGACTTAAAGAGTGGTCCTCAGGGATCCCAACAGCAGTGGAACAATCCCCAAAATCTTGCTCCCACCACCCGCTTTTGGAATCCCTCCAAACTCTAAAAGTCGAACGAAGTCCAAGTCTAAGAAGGAAGCAGACTGGGAACCGCCAAGCGGTGTTCTGCCTTTCTATCTAACAGTTCAAAGCCTGAAACCTCCGTTTGGGTGTTTGTCCCCTCGAAACAAAAGGTATGTTTCCAGTAGCAATAGATTCCCTCTTGAACCAAGAGAGCAAATGACAAATCTCAAGCAAATGGAAGGAACACGAAGGACCTGCCGCCAAAGACAGCTTCAAACCGTCTGCGGCTTCGATCGGTTTCGCTCCGGGAGAAGGCCCGGGAAGGTGTCGGCAACTTCGATGCTCACGAAGGGGGCCTCGGGTTGCCGACCGTTCTCTGAACACAACAGTGGAAATGACATTTTTCAAGGAGCCATCCCCCCCCTTCGAAAAAAGAAGTTTTTTGTTTTCTGTTTTTTCCCCGAAGAGTGGGTGCTAGTACAATCCCTGAAGAGCTGTGCTTTTGATCTCGAGTTGTTGCCCCCCCTGGGGTTGTTCACATCTGAGGGCTGAGACTTTCGGACCCCCAACTGTCAAACACCAACAGCCACCGAAATTTGGAAGACCAACTTAGGGTGACTGACACTCATTTTCATCCACTGGAGACGCTTGTGACATCACGTTTTGACCGGGTGTGGCGCACCAAGCATCGGCACCAAGCGCTACTTCCTGGGAGCTTGTTCAACAAGGGGAAGCTCCAAACATGTCAACTCTCATGAAACATGACCGTGTGAAGCAAGCATCGCAGAAAAAATGGAAGACTTAAAACAACAAGTGTGTTCGGCATGGCGCGCATGGGATGGTGTGAAAAATATACCTTGCACGGATGGCTGTGGTTTGTGTTTCAAATGAAAACCGTTGGGTTTCTACAACACCCCAATGCTTGTCTGGAGTGTATGCCCTCCTGCCTTTGGGCCTGCTTGGCTTTTGCTGGATCAAGGGGGCGCTGGCAATTAGTGTCTAGGACAATTTTGCTGGGTATTCATTGAACAAGCACGTCTCAGCCACTGTTAAGTGGGATAACTATGACCATTGGTTGGTTGGTATTGCAAAACTTGATATTGAGAATCACCACAAAGTTCAACCAGGAAGGGGTAGACATTAGTTCCCTGGTATCACATGATTGTTGAGTTTCAAGCCACTCTTGCTTGGAATCCATCAACACAAACAGCACATTTGAACCACTGGCAAGGGCATTTATGTTCTCTCGTTTTCCACATACCCATAAAGGCCTGCCTCCAAATGGTGAGACCAAAAAATGATTAGATTCGAACTCTTAAAAAGTTGTAGCCCAGTGTGTGACCCACTCGCAGACCTCCAGTGGCCACTTGAAAAGAGTCACTTGAACAAAGGAAATGCCAATCACTGCGGTGGCCATAGGAAAGAGGGTGCCCCTTTTTTTGGGGGGCAGCAAACATACTAAAGCAGGGTTGTGAGCACAACACAACGGCATTCCCAAAGACTAACCCCCCCATTAAGGGGGAGATTCCTTGCATCACAAAAGTGGTTGGATAAGCCCCGAGTGATCCCACAACGATGTTACTAAAGAAACCCCTGCCTCAGAACAAAAGACACGGACAGTAAAAAAAACAAAAACGTCACAGGTCCGTCTGCCATCTGCCAGGACCATTAAAAAGTAGTAATGAAGTTAATGGCTCCTAAAATAGAAGCAGCACCGGATAAGTGTAGAGTAAAAACTGCTACCCTCCCTCCAACTAACATGGCACCTCACAGAGGGTCCCTTCATGAGCAAATTGATCTTCCAGGTACCCTCCAACAGGTGCTATGTTTGTGGGAGAGAGGGTAAATCAACAGAAGGACTGCCATACCCCGCCTCGGTTGCTTTCTGCTCCCCTGCTTTAAATTTAACTTTTAGTAGTCTAATACGGAAAACCCATGAGTTGGCAAAAAGTTAAAGTCCTACCATCCCTTGGCAAAATGCGCCAAAGTTAGTGCAAAGAAACCAAAAGGACGACAACTACCATGTCGTGGGTCCCCTTAAAGCACGGACACCGGCAAAACGATCCACAAAACTTGGCTGGAACTAGGACCCCGGCATTTTCGTTTTTGCTGGTTAGTGGAAGAGAAAGGGCCCCAAAAAAGCAAAAAATAAGAGGGGGAACGAATTCTGGGGAAGGAACAACCGCCAAAAGTGCCAAACGCGCCCCCGCCTCGTTCCCGTCGTGGTACTTCGTGGACATCTGCACGAAGCGCACGCCGCACTTCGCCGCCCTGGAGTCCGCTGGCAGCTCCACGGCGCAGGCGTCGAAGGCGCGGAAGTTGTGGCGCACGGATTCCCAGGAGTCCATGACCTGACAGCTCAAGGCAGGAGCTTCCAACTAGAACACACAAAAGGGAATCTGAACAACACAACAAGAAGGCATCGACTAAAAAGAAGGTTCCACTAATTTCCAAGTTTTTGGAAGCCAAGCCAAAAGGAGCTTCCATTAGAACAAAAAGCGGGGCGGTTCCCTCAAAAGAGGCTCCCCCCCCTCCCCGACCAGCATCCCTTCCAACGAAGCACAAAAGGGAACCTGAACAAAAAGCAAAAGGCATCGACTAAAAAGAAGATTCAACTAATTTCAACGATTTTGGAAGCCCTCAGTATGACCCGGAGATAAGATGGGTTTCTCTCAAAAGGGGGTTCCCTCCCCCCCACCCATACCCCAAAAAAAGAGGACACCATCACTCCACCCCCACCCACCCACCCCCGCCCCCAAAAGAAAGAAACAGCCCCCCAAAGTACAAACCCTCCTCCCAACGCAGGATTCCCGCGAACCACCCTGAAATGGTTTGGGGAATGGAGCTTGTAGAGGGTAAATGAGGAACCACCTCCAAACCCCCAATCCAACCACCAATTACGAAAAAACGCTGAACAATTTGGACCCCAAAAACAAACACAGTGTTGACCCCTGGTTAGTAAACCCTCACTTATTAGTTAATTGGGGGGGGGTCCCTTTTTGGTGGGGGTCTTGTCTTCCAGGGGACCGGGATTCCTGATTTATACCTTGGGGTTGATTGATCCTCCAGTTGCTCAAGTCCCCTGAGAACAAACACATACTTCCAGAATCCCAGAAGTGATAGATTCCCTTCAACAAAACAACGTGGGAAATAAAACATATTCTCGAGCAAGTGGAAGATGCTATCAATCAGGGTCGACGTTACCTGGATGCTTGGCCAAGTTAGCAAGTTGTGGGTAACCTGGGTTATAGCCTGCTTCTAAGTGCCCCGTTCAGCGGACTTCATCTTGTCGTTGGTGGGCTAGACCAAAGGTGCCCCAAACCATCCAAACCACCAAGTAGACGCAGGCTGAACAATTATGGAAACCCACAAAACAGATCCAACATACTCAAAGGGGCAGGGTATTTAGCAAGTGTTTTTTGTTTCTTCTTTTTTTAACCATGGTTGTCGCCCACTTTCTACGTAAGTCTGCTAAGTGGGTTGCAACGAGGCGTATTCACCGAATCACGATCCGCCTTGCCCATCCGCCCGAAGAGTGCGGGGTCGAAGCAGGGCTCATGGGCCGAGATCATGTTCTCCGCCCGCGCGAAGCGTTGGTCTGTGACCCCCACCACGGTGCCTCGACGCGATATGGCTGATTCACCTTGTTCACTTCCTAAGTGGACTAGCCAAAAAAGGTCCAAACCTGTTGTTTTACCACCACTAGGTCCTCCAGATTTGAGAGGCTAGAAGAAAAGGGTGCCCGATCTCTTTCTCTCCGCGCTTTTGGAGCATCCGCACGGGGCCAATCTCCATTCTTGGCTGAAACCTGCCTGCTTGAATACAGGGTGGCCCTATTCCCATATCCACTTCTTGACAAAAAAAAAAAGAGCGGCATGCCTGCAAGAGGATTTCTTGCACCACTGTTCGACGGCAAAGCCAAACATGTCCAATATTGGTCATCAATCAAATATTGTTTGGGCTCCTTTCGGTTTGTCTTTAGAACCAAACCAAGGGTTCACACGACATGGCTGACATGCCCAATCATGGAATCCATCGAGTGTTGATCTGGGATTGAAAACTCTCAGGTGGGGAATTAACAACAAACCCTGGAAAAGGAAAACCGAAAGGTTAGAAAGTCGAGGCTAGTAAAAGCTTCTTCTTCCTTGAGCCTTGAGAAATAAACTGTTGTAGAACGATGTGGGCTCTTAAGTGTGGTAAACCTCCCGCTATGGAGCTGGGGGCTACCGCAGAGACCTGCGCCGGTCGGTCGCAGCGGAAAGCTCACCACTCGCTTGATGCCCCGTGGAACCTGATCCGGATGCTCCGGCTTTCTGAAGGCGACCCCTCATGTTCTGAAAGGCGACACCTTCTTTCACTCGCTTGCAACCGGACAAAGGTGACCCATGTTGCGAGATGTAGTTGCCAACATGGGGAATCAAAAGGTCAGCATGACGTTAACAAAAAAGCTCCAAGTTCTCTTCACTTGCTCAAAGGACCCAGAAATACAAGGTTAACCTTATGGGGCCATGACTAAAGAATGGTTGCCAACATGGGAAAAGCAAAAGGAAAAAAAGTCGATTCGCTTTGGGCAACTGAGTCTGAGTCTTCAAACCTGGGGGAGGAGAGCAGAAATTCTAGGGGGTGATTCCTTTTCCATTCTTTTTAACCATCGTTCTTTTTGAAAAATTGGCTGCTTCTCCTGGGGTTTTGATGGTTTCCTAAAAAGAAGGATCCCTGGGAAAGAATGGGGAAGGTAGCACTAGAGGAATGAATTGCACAGGGGGGCCGCTGGGGTGTTACCACCTGATCCGGTCGCCAGCCGATCCAACCGAGACGCCTTTGCACATGACATTCCTTGGCCATTGCTGCCGGTGAGACGGTCGGGGTGTTGGGAAAAGCCGGTGAGCTCGCACACCGCGAGGGGGAAGCCAATTGGAATGGGGCTTCCGAGGTGCCGTAAGACCAAGTACTTCAATTGTCACGATCATGAGAAGCAAGTTCGCAATATTTACGCATTTGGCTCCGTGTAGTACCTTCCTCTGAAAAGGAAATATCCGTATGTCCCCTTCCGGATCATTTAACAACACCTTTCGGAAAGACACGTTTTAAAGCAGCCTCCTTTGGGCAGGTTGACGTTCAAAAACCAGAGGGAGTACTTGTGCCAGGATGCCTGTTTTGCCACTTCACAGAGTCATAAGTAGACCTGGGCTACAATGTAACACAGTGGCGGGGGGGTCCCCGTTGATGTTCCTTAAAGGTGTACCCTCCAAAACACGCACTCATGTTCCTGACTAGGCTCTTGTTCTGGGAAAAAACAAGCAGGGAGTGAGGGGGCTGTTTCCTTAATGCTGGCCCCGGATCAATAAACCCGTCCTATTATTAGGTTGTTCCCTGGACGGGCCAAAACAAGCAACCACACTTCTTGTGCACCACTGAAATGGCAACCAAACCCGAAAAGCGACTAAAGTCCGAAACGGAACTCAGGGAGTGAGGCAACCCACCAACGAACCAAGGCAACCCTTTGGTTTCCCTTTCCTAACCAACCCCAAGGAAAGTGTCATTCCAACATTTTGACTGAAGCTCAACATTGACCCAGATCTCCCCCCCTTTTTTGGCCATCCCCCTCATGCTCGGTACATCTTCATGGGAATTGAGGTCAACAACTCACTTGCTGAGTGGATGGCCCCAAAAAGGTAACCACACTTCATACTTACCACTAAAATGGTCTTCCCCAAAAAATAAAAAGTCCAAACTTCATACTTACCACTAAAATGGTCTTCCCAAAAAAAAACATAAAGTTCAAGAACTCCAAAAGTGGGACCAGCCGAGGCTCCATGGCGCCAAAGGATCCAGCGGCCCCTTCACCAAGATCTCCTCCGGCAGATCCGGGCGAAAGGCCGAGAAGACCAGCCGGCGGTAGCCTTGGTTCACCTCAGACCAGTCACGGGAATGCCCAGGTGGATCTGCAACCAACCGAAGGTGAGTGGGTGATAACCGTGGTTCGAGCTGGGGCAACTTCCTTCTGACCATGGTAGCATACAGGGCTCCCTTCAGCACCATGGATTTGCGACTGGGGCAACTGGGGGTTGGTTTCCTTCTGACCATTGGAGCGTACTTCTCTGTAGCTCCAGGACCATTCGTAAGGCCACGGCCTATGGCTCTTGCGACTCTAAATCAATCATGGGAGATGCCCTTCGCCGGACCCACCAAACTCTGTTGGGTTGTACTTCACCCAAGGGGCCAACCCGCCGTTTAGGCCGCGTGTTGCTTTTCTTCCAACAAAAACACGTTTTGGGGTCTTTGCCAACCCGTTTTTGGAGATTTTTCGGGTGCCCCCCCCCCACCCAGGTAGCCCCTACTTACAAGCCTGTCCTGTGTACCCTCCTGGCCTACAAAACGGGGTACCTCTCTGAGGGTATACTCTCCAAGGATTAGCCACTACACGCTGCAATGGCTCTTTTAGCTATACTTTGAAATCTAAACTTATCGGCTGCAAACGCCCTGCAAAACCAGGGGCCCCATCCCAAGAAAACCCCATGATAAGCCTTCAATGAGGCTTCATTACGATGTTAACAGGCCATGAAGGCCCACATAGACTCCGTGAGCTCCCCTTGGTACCTTTGTTCTGGGATTGTTTTGAAGGGAAGCCCAGACCCGAGCTTGCTTTTTTTTGAGACCCCACTCGTACCAAAGAAAAGCCGAGCTGCGACATTCTCCTGGGACACGCCATGGGTCTGCATCTCCGCATCCCATCGACTCGTGTCCAGAAACTGCACCTCGCACATGAATTGATCAATGCACTGCCCAAAGGACCTGGAAATGAATTCTTACTAGCCCAGGATGTACTTAGAGTTGTCAAAAATGGGTCAAAGTACATCTGTACGAGGTACGTGGACCCTCTGGGTTTGCCTTTTGAAATCTTGGTTAAACTCCAAAAAGTCGGTTTGCAAGTGAGTATAGGATGACTCGATGTCTTCCCCACACCAGGGAATTTATCCAAGACGCAAGTCCTTCTTGAGTTCAACACTTAGGCAACACCTTTCCCGGGCAACACATAATGATTCGCCGTAAGACAAAACGGTCAATTGTTGATACCCTCCCTCCAACAATCATAGAAGGTGAACAGAAGGGCTTTGGAAGACTACTAAACTTTTGCGGAAGCCCCAAAACGTCCACTTCCCTGATTGCTGAAAAGAGGGTAGTTGATCTTGAAGGGGACCTTTCATAGAGCTCGTGTCCACCAAAAACACACACCAAACCGCCGCTGTCAATTTTTCTTCAAGGCCTTGGATGTCTTCGGGGGCTCCCAAGAGGGAAGGTACCGAAATGTCCCTCAAATCAGCGGTTTGAAGGTGTTCCCACCCCAGAACCCCAGAGCCTGATGTTTAAGTGCCAGGAAGGACAGCGCTCACCATATCCCACCCTCCCCCCCCCCACATCACACAGCAAGGCTCCCACCCCTCCCCAAACTGTGTCGCTGCAAAACCCCAAACCGGAAACAGAGTTGGAACCATAGGTGACTTTTTGGGAAAAAATCAGATGGGTGTCTGATGATAAATGGGCCACACAAACCAGAAAAAAAAGAGACCCCTCTGGTCCCTATTTGCCATTCTGTTAGATATGTTGCCCTCGGTTCCTTCACAGAACTCCGATCGGCTCCCGCTCTCGAGTCGGCTCCCGACCTCCAAGTGCCGAAGTAGCTGCCTCGCTATGGCCGCGTTGTGCCGCACAGCCTCCTCCTGCGAGCCGAGTCTCGGCGACGCCGCGATGTCCGGGCGAGCGGTCGGGTCGAGTGGTCAAGTGGTCGAGCGAGCGCCTCGGTTTTGGGTTTTGGGCCATTGGGCGGATGGGGATTTTCCCGGTTTACCCCGTTTTGGTGATTTGAATTGACAGGGAATTATTTTTGTTGGTCACATGCTCCTTGGAACTTGCAGGTGTAATCCCCAGTGAGTAGATCTTCTTGACGCCCCAAACTGAGTAGGTTTTCTTTGGGGTTCACCACTGCTACTGGGGAACCTCGCAAAAAGGACAAGTGACATCCGCGGAGCAACCGGAAAAGACAACGACTACCCCAAGACTTAAACCCGGGCTTGCCCTTTTGGGGCACAGAAACTACCCCTCCATTTAAGTCCATCTGAGGGTCGTCAAACAAATTGACAAATGGGTTTCCGTGAGGGCGGGGTATGGCGGCACACCTTGCAAGTTGATTCTAGAATTATGACACGGCGGATCCAGGATGCCCGGCCTCCAAAAGGAGAAGCCCACATGAAAAGGGGAAACTTGTATCAACCCCCCCCCACCCATGTCGGCTGGCCCAAAATCCTGTCCGGCGGGCCTTGAAATTTTCGGGGTTCGTCGGCGTCCAGCTCCATGGACCATTTTTGTCGAAAATCACTAAAAAATTGCTTTTTTCCCCAAACAGTTTACTGTGAGGGGTTCTAAATTCATTTAAGGTGGCTCGCCTGTTGCCAATAGCCTGGATGCCTGGCACGGCTCTCCAGGCGGACAGATTCACTTGTCTCCCTTTGTCTCCCTTTGTCTCCCTTCATTTGTCTCCCGTTGTCTCCCAGCCTGGATGCCTGGCACGGCTCTCCAGGCGGACAGATTCACTTGTCTCCCTTTGTCTCCC